TCTACCCTTTATCTAGCTTACTTGAGAAGCCGACTCATACACTTAAACTTAAAACTTAAACTTAAACACACTTCTATTCTATTAATACCACCCAGTAAAGGCATTTATTAGTCCACTTATATTGCCGATTGCCATCTGAAATCGTTTACCGAATGCCCTTTTTTTTACTTCTACTTATTAGAAATGCGTTGGAAAAATTTTTTTATTCCTACCCAGATATGCAGGGAAACAGTAAGTGGTTAAAATACATTTGCAATAATAAATGATCATTGAGTTAAAAAATAATGTTACTAATAAGAAAATTATATCAATTCGGAGAAATTCGCATCAGCACTCAAGAAGCATTTTAATAAAGCAAATTGAAACAAAAAGGGGATAAACTACTGGTACATTAAGTGACTGTAAGCAGAGCAGAGATACAGCTGAGTTTGAAGGCGATTCACAAATCGAAAGCATAGGCTTATTTTCCGTGAATTGCATACCTCAATATTTCAATTAAATACTTTTTCAATAGTTAGACCAGAATTTGCCTTGCGGAAGGCTTAAGCGCTTGTCTTGTTCACGGTCGAACGTGCTCAACAAAAGATTAGTGCTTACTTGAAATAGATCGCTAACAGAGCGAATGTGAAGATGTTTGGCGATTTGATCATAACGACATGTGTCAAAAAAAATGCAATATAAAGTCAATCGACCACATGAAAATATACCGGGTATGAGAAAGTAATGAATACGGCTTTCGAAAGCCTTTGCTATTTAATATATGTTTCTAAGAAAGTTTTAACCACCCGGTCGTTTAAAAAGCTTTTGACAGATAAAGTTTGCGTTTTTCATAAGAAATTAGCAAACTTGAGTAATTACTGTTACTTACCCAACTTGCGCTCAACCCCTCCTGAAAAACTAAAACAGATAGGCGATAAGTCCTTTACCGAAATCCATTTTTTAACTTATGTGTGGAAAATTTCGCAGACCTATGCTGATATGGTTGGTGGCCACAAGATATGATGAAAATGCAAGCATGATGGTGATCGGTATATATATATATATGTATTGAAAAGAAAATTTTAACTTACGTTTTCGATTACGAAAATGAAATTCGAATGCGTCGCTTATTCGCTCACCTCACTCGTTATTATGCTGTGGTAGTTGAAAATTGTATTTAGAATAACATTATCATACCCCATCGCTTACGATAAATGCGAATGTTATGTAAGATGAACGTCATCATCGTGGTTAACTTAATTGAAGCGAAATTAATTTTGTAGTGTGCAGCAGACATAGGCGTATTTTATTTACCCATACATTTTCAAAATTATGCATGATCTTGTTAGGTTAAAGACTTTGAAAATTGCTTTTGGTTTTTTTGTCCCCTCCTTCGCTTGGTTACATCTTCTGCATTTGCGTGTTGTCGCAAATAGTGTAATTACGCCTAAACGTTTTCGGGTAAAACACAGCTTGCACAATATAACTACCATCACAGTGCTGTGAAAAAATGAAAAGCAGCTAAAAACTGTATAGTTAAGAAGAGAATCAGTAAAATTGGACCTTTTGCCATCTAAAGGCAACTTATCCGAGCCGGATGCTTCCGAGTTCTGCACGCTGAGCTTCTTTTGGTTGTGCTGATGCCTTATCTTGACAATGGATTTGCTTGCTGCACGATACGACGCAAAACCAATTTCCTCTTTTGCCGCGACACACGTGACTTTTCGATTCCCTTTCTGTCTTTCGATCGGACCATGCAGCATTTTCTTGATGGTTGAATCCCCGGTGCGATGTGAAGTTCAGCTGATACTCCTTTGGTACACTTTTACTTGTTCTGTCATTATTTGCTGCGTCACCTTCAGATTTGCTTTTATGCAGTGGTCTTGTAGCTCGATATCATTGCATTCTCACCAGACGCTTATAGGTGAATAATGCCACTCCTTTGAAAAATCAGTAGGAATTTCCTTAAACATTTGAACCATTCATTAAGGGGCGCCTGAGCGGACATGTCAACATGTAGACTGCGAAAAGCAGTTTACAAGGTTTTTGGATCTGTTCACACTTTACAGAAATAAATGTCTAATCTCATTAACTTTAATCGTATCTATGACGGACCCACTTTTTCATCGAATATTATCTTCTTACAAGAGAGGGACCTTATAAAATCAGAAACACTTACACATTTTAAGAGTCACTATGCACCGCTACGCCACCTAGGCGTGGCTATATATTTCACGAATTACAAAATGCTTAGTCCACTTAAAATCTGTAAAGAGGGAATCAATTGTGGACACAACTTAAGTGGCCTAACTCGAACCATGTACATTCTGTCACAGTTTTATATTTAATTTAAAATCTTTAAAAAAAAACATTTTTTTTTCTTTATTTTAAATTCTATAAAACAAACACACTTAACCCATGACATACTCATCTGATAACCAGAAACAACTTAGCACAAGTGATTGCTAATAGGAATGGTTCGCAATTCCCACTAGCTCAAGCCATTAAACGGAGGATATAAAAAAAACACTGTGAGATGTCATTAAAAGCATATATATAATGATCGTAATATCGAAAATTACACATCTGCTTAATCAAGGCAGGTCCTTCCCCCGTTTGTGAGCAACCCGTTGCAACCCTCGGTGCGACGAGTGCAAAAATCGAAATTGAAAATTTTTACTTGACGCATACAACTAACAATTTTTTTATGAGATAAGCGGTCTCTTCAAAATTGAGCAAAACTTGAATTCGCGTAACATTCCAAAGTGAACAGAATGTTCGATAATAGGGTCTATTGACTCCACTTACTACCGGCTTTCGTCGTTGATGGCAATCGGATGTGTAGAAGTTGGGTTACTACAGTACAAAAACAAGTGAAAACATTATAATCGAGCTAGACCGACTATTAACCGCCTTATTTTTAGGCTTTTACGAAACGCTTCAATTGATGAAACCGAGTTATTGCAACGATTGCTCTTCCTATCGCAGAATCTCTGATTGCTGTACTTCGAATCACTGGCTTGTACTGATTTTTCTTAGAAAATTTAAGAAATAAAATCTTATGGCCGTCTGAAGATTAATTTTTTTTAAATTTTATTAACTGTGTGCGGCCAATCCATATCGCGACCTAAAAGATCTATTGTACTCGTCCGTACTCCTAGCCTTATAGTGTTAGCATTTTAGCGCAAGACAGTGTCCGGCTTTGTAAATTGTTCGACCCAAGCTTAGTGCCTGATTCTGCACATTCACATAGAATGTGACATCTAACCGGTCCCTTGACCTTGCAAGAATCGATATCAGAAATACCCATGTGTTTCAGGTAGTATCTAAGGGAATTATGACCCGTGTAAAGGCATGTAATCAGGCTTGTCGTTCCAGTAATTTATGTGCTTGCTGTTGGCACTCACAGGCTCAGGAACTGTCATGGTCCCTTGGGCCCGTTTATTAATTAGATAGTTAGCTCTTTCATTGCCCTCTATACCCAAAGGGCCGGGCGTCCGTATTAAGTGCACATCATTGCGCTTGCCAATGCAAGGTTTGACAATACTCCAATACGGCCCAAGATTTTACTGTTTGCCCTTTCAAGACCTTTGAGGCGATTTGACTGTCAGAGTGCAGAATGCACAGATCATGTCTCTCCTGCATTGCCTTCTTATGGGTTCAGTGGCACATATAAACTTTCAAATCATCAAATAACAAGCTTCATTAAAATGTGGCGAAAACTGCGACCTATGGATTCAAAGAGCCACGTGGACGCTTAAATTTCGGGGACTATGTAGGTTATCCCAAGTCCTGTTTACTTTGCCCTGAGCAGAAGTAGTGAAAGGAAAGAGAGATTTTCTTTCTTTTCCTTATTCTTCTTCATTGCCTATTGCCTTAACTTTCCTTGCGGATTAACTTGAAGTAAATTCTCGGGATTATAAGTGACTTTAAGATTAACGATAAATTATTTTAAAGAATAGTATAAAGAGAATTTCCTCTTGTTTGTTATTATTAAACCACTCATGTATATGTTATGTATAGAAATGATATCTAAAGACCTACAAACGACGGCACCAACAACAACTAGAAAGTGATTATTTGCTAAGTTCATTACTTAATTGACACGTGAACTGCAAGCAAGTTATTTCGCCATACAATAGAATTCTCCATTACATGGACGACACCTTTTGTCACTTGCACTTTTTATTATTATACTCGTTGTTCTATAATCGCAGATACACCATATATGTGCGTATATGCACATATGTTTATATATATATATATATATATATATATATATATCTAAAAACCTGTTAAATTAATTATTCCCGTAATTGTGATGGTCAATTCAGTTTCTTCTCTCTACTGTGCCCTTTATTTCAAAATACAATTCGTAGCAAGCAAGTGAGATGATTGGCCGATGTCTATTGTCCGTTCAAAAAGAAAAGAGAAAAAAAAAGTATACTTAGCCTATACGCACACAGCATGGGTTTTGTTTTACTCAGATTGTTAATTAAGCCCAGCTAAGGATACTATTTACGCATCTTCTACTTTAAGAAATCTCTAGCTTAGCCTATAAAGCAAAAGTAAATATTTAAGATTCCTTTTCGGAAATTTTTTTTTTATTTTGTTAATGTCAATCTCTGTGTAACAATTTATTTGCCACAATTATTTCCTGTTTTCGTGTTGATTGCTATATAAAAACAGGGGCTGCTTTACATGAACTTGTCGTCGTGCAATCTTTTTTGCCATCCTCATCTCGTGTAGCTTTTACTTTTAATAACCTTATGATTATTTCCTGCCCAAAATTAAAGTTTTTTTCTTGTAAGCCTGAACTCACCTGCATATATGGTTTTCATTCCTTTCAAGGATATACAAGGGTATACAACATTTTTTTTGGTTGTATTAAGCGAAAAAAAAAAAAATTTTTTTTTAAATTTTTTTTTATTTTTTTATAAATAATAAATATATATTTACAATCAATAACAAGAAAAATAAATAAATGAAAAAAAAAAATGATTATTTTTTAATTTTAAAAGGGTGAATATGACAGCCACACAAGTAACGTTGTTTTGGATAATTTACATCCATCCATAACTCGTCGTATAGATGAGATTAATCCTATCGCAACATATGTAGAAGCGTCAGCCAATAGCCGTGCTACGGAAACCGCTACGAATGATGTCTCATCGGCATCCGTTAATAAAAGTGTGGCCTGCAGTAGCAGCAACAGTCCGACACATGAACGAAAGAAATGTAACGAAATTCAACAAACAAGCAATGATAACAATTTAATTGATGATTCCAATGACCATTTGGATATGAATTCAACGAATAAAGCGCATTGTTGCCTGGCGCCTATGACAACGATTTCGCCTACAGTGTCTTCCACAGCAGTAGCGACGCTATCAACGACCGGTACGCATTTTAAACAATAAACTTGAAGTGCACAAAAGGCGATATTTCACTTTTCCTTTTTCTCTTTCTTCATTAAGATCTGGCACGAGATCAATGGTATGCCCATCATGTTCATCATCCCTCAACGCATGGCCAACACCATCATCATCCGCATCCGCATCCGCATTCGCACTCACATTCGCACTCTCAGCAATTATCCGATGAATTTGTCATGTATGCACCCGCTTTGCCTACGAGTAGTACCAGTTCGCCAATAGGTAAATTCGGTATAGAAAGCTCAACGGAAGGCTATTTGAATGCCAGATATAATGGTAAGTAAGCATTTAAAACCTTCTTCCAATAATATACGACATCATTAAATAACAAATTCCTTCATGTATATAAAGCCTTAGGAGAAACTTTATAACCGACAAATTGAGTCGTAGTCTTTTACTTAACGCCTTTGCACCGTATATTATAAACTCACTCATAGAATTCTTATAGCCTAGCCTAGGGATAACAACAGGGATATCAACTGCAAAATTTATTGAATGTTTTAACCCGTAAACCATTTAAAATTAAGTCGATTTATCTGATTCCAAAAAAATATACAAAACTTCAACAACTGCCCAGTATTGATGGAGTGATGGCTATTTTGGGGGAGTGTTGAGCTTTTCATTAAATTAAAAAATATTTCAAAGGAGCAAAAACGGTTATTAAATACCCTACACCATTGCACTAGTCATTTACTATAATTTATATTTACTTTTGTGATAAAATTCAAAAATAGACCTTTGCGTACTTTTCAAGAGACTTGCATACGGAAAGTGCCTTGAAATTGTGGACTGATCTGATTCGAATTTAATAAAATCAATTTTCTTGCCAAGGATGTTAACAAAATATTTGATTTTGCTGGCAAGTAAAGGCTTACCATTCAAGGAAAACCCTTGCATGTAGTAGGATCCCCAAAAGTGGACGACCGTGGTCGAAATTTGATACAGTTAATCTCTACGTCGATTTACTCTTATAAGAATTTTCATTATAAGCAAGTAAGAACTCTATAGTCGGATAAGGCCGATCAGAAAATATTCTACACGATTTCGCCTAAGATATTTCCCCACTTATTTCGGCGAAAAAACGCCAACTATTGCACCTTGTTTTCTATGGAAAGCCTTCCATGGAAGAGCGTCCAAACCGTAAACTAAACAATCTAGGCAATGAGACTAAATCTATCAGTATGATAAAGGGCTGGACAGCTGTCAGTTCATTTGACTGTTACACTTACATCCACGCAAATATACATATGTCCTAAAGACATTTTTGGTGGACAAGCTTGCGCAAACTGCAACAAGGATAAATTATTATATGTGCTACTTCGGCCATTGAGTTGTCGCAAAAGCGTGCATGAGTGCATGAGATGAGTTTAACCAGTGAATTAACCAATTAATGAGATGTGTATCGCCTTTGTTGAGCCCGATTGGAGCTTTGTTGTCTATATTCACATCATTCGCAAAGGAATATTACTAACAGGTAAAGCCGGGGGCGAGATTTAAATCGAACATAACCTCCTTAAATGAATTAAACTGTTTGGGGTTACAAAATGGACTTTCGTTTGTTCTGCGCGCGTCGCTTGTATTGTGAAAAGGCATATTAAGCTTTTTCGAGCACGCGCAACACCAACAATGACTTCAGATAAACTTATCTCTTATTATATCAAACGATTCTAAACGATTTTCTCATTCTACTTAAATCTGTCTGTCCGTCTCTCTGTGGTCAGTCCATAGGTTACAGAAAATTTAGCGCAAGAGCGTTTTAACACATGGACGAATTCTAGTCAGAGTGAATTTGATCGAATCATTCTTCTGACTAGCAACCATATTTGACTCTGCGATTTGAAAAAGTCCTTAAGTGGGAAAATGAGTGAAAAATAATGACTGTTAAACGATAAGTGTATAGTTCCAATAATTATTAATTATTAAACCCGGAATTAAATTCAATTTTTATTGTTTCATGATCCAATAAATAAAAGTATCATGCAGGCGGCTTCCCGCGCATAAGCAATGGATTATTGGAATTAACTGGTGTAGTGTATTTAACAATCGACCTTGCTGAAATATTATTGTTACTATGTATGAGTATAGCACAATATATCTTCCATATTGAAATGTTTATTTAAAATATTTTGTTTATTTAAAAAAAAAACATCCTTTTATTTAGTTTTTATGTATCGTTTGTGTAGGTTTTTCATTTTAACTAAGTAAGTTTAACGATAATATTTATATATTTCATAAACACAAAAAGCGAATCAATAAGCCTGAAGCACTATCTTGTACGCTTGCCTTCGAAAAACTTTTTAATGAAATTTTGCAAAAGCCAATATATAAGACTATAACGTGCAACAACCCTCCCCCATTAACGTTCGAGTTAGAATAAAGTCTTGCATAATTTTATACATGCAACCGGACTATCGAATTAACAAAATATTCCTTCAATCGTTTCATCTACAAATGTAATGCGATTTAATATCCACCTTTATGTGGTGTATAGCTACGGGTGACGTGAATGCTCAATCCAAAAGAACGCAAAACTTCTCGATCGAGCCCTCAAAATTTGAAACGTCCCTCTTCGTTTTATACCATTGTCGAGTATTTGAAAAAAGAAGAAGAAACACTAAAGAAATCTCAATATAATATTAAGCCTTAACAATGATCATCACTGACAGTCCTACGATCCAATTTAAAAAAAAAATGAATAAATTTTGTAAGAGCAACATATGAAGAATCGCTACCAACAAATGCACAGTCAATGTGATTGTGGTTTAGCATCGTGGCTTAACCTCACTTCACGCATTAGCACAGCAGGCTATTTAAGCGTGAACGGGCATCTCACAGAGTGTGGGACGATACCTATAAACTAGTGAATTAACTGGACGTCTGGAATAATTGAAGACAAATTTAAAGTCAATGGACAGTAAACCCATTCTGAGGAGTCTTGAGGTTTTTTACCTCCTCTAATTGTTCGCTATTGGCAGTGTTTGAAAACCACAGCCACCACGATGCTCCCACAAAGGCCGTGACCAACAGTCAGCACTTACTAGCACAGTTACTAAATTCCCCTCACAAGAGGTCCTCGAAAGAGTATATTCGTGAGCGGACCCCTGAGCCCGATGGAACTTACATTTAGACTATAAAGCCTTCAGCATTACTTTACGCGACCGTAGTCACTCTCCCCTTTGGTTAGCCTAATGCCTTTGCCTTGATATATACGCAAAATATTGTCTGCTTCCCTTGCAAATTAACAACTGGATTTGGATATTTTTCCAAATCATCCGCTCACTATTTTCAACAAAGAAAAACTTTTAACCTTTCAACCGCTACTTGACGTGGATAATCAGACCACTTTTGCAAGTTCTCTCTACAGGCTTTCTCAAGAATATAGCAACCACGAAGAGGCTAATAAATGACCATGAAAATCTTGTAGGAATCGGGAACGTATTGTGCTTAAGAAATATCAAAGACTTATTTTCAGGGAATTATCAACCAAGTGACTTATTTTCAGATACCCTAAGAAATTCTAAAAGTAATTCTTTCAGCCAGAAATTAAACAAGTAAGAAAGTTATATTCAGCGGATCTTGCCGGATCTTGCATACCCACCACTATGCTTTCCGCATTCTACGCTCCAACTTCTTTCATTTGATACCCAGGTCGCTGCTATTATTAAGAAAAAGTTAATCGCGGTATCTACCTTAGATCATTTTATACTTAACCCATTTTTAGGCAGATAATTTATCGTCATTTGAGCAGTGTACAAAATAATTTTAAACATTCTATATTGTTTGCCTTGTGATAAATAAGCATAAAACCCGAAAAAATTGGAAAATAAAATTTAATCACTTGTAGCTTTATGTGAGCACAGCCGATTTTTCCCAGTTTTGTATATAAATAATAATAGAATTTTTCGTAGAGTAAATGGGGAAAATTTCAGTCTATCTATTATGGTTTGTGAGTAATAAGCGAAAGCCCACAAATTTTTGTTAAATAAAATGGAGCTGCGTTCTTTTTATGCTCTACTGCGGGTCTCTGGGTGGACCAATTTGGCTCATTTTCAATACCAATCTGCGCGCAATGCTTCGACCAAATTTGAAGTCTATATTTTCATTTTTGCGACCAGGAGAGTGCCAACAACAGACGCACAGATGGACAGACATGGCTTAATCAATTTAGAATTTCACGCTGATCAAGAATATATATATACGTTAAAGGATCTCTAAAACTTCCTTTCGTCTGTTACCTACATTGTGAAGCAAAAAACCAAAAGCATTGCACCCCCCCATCCTTCAGTGATGGGTATAAAAAATTATTATTATTATTTTATATGGTTTTCTTATCAACGAATATGTTTTCTATTAAGCAATATTGTACGCACATGTATACTTAAATTATGTTTAACAAAAGATAACAATTTTGACTACATTTTTACTAACCGATGTAATCAAAAGGAGAAAAAAAAAGAAAAAAAAACTCAAATCTATTTATTGCAGTTAATGTTAAAGGAGTTCGTCATGAAAGAACTTCATCTTTTTTCGACATTCCCGCTGTGACGCACCCATACTGTTACAGGTAAGTTTACATTATGCATGTTAAAATCTCTCTTCTTCGCTACAGTGGCTTACGCACACCCATATACATATATTATCACATAAATTGAATGTTTTGATGATTGATTCTTATTATATGAAAGCTTAAAATATTAAAGTTGAATACTTTTACTTAAAAAAAAAAAAATATATATATATATATACATATGTATACATATTAAAATATTTCGTACACTTCGTATATATGGTATGCGTTTTATATCGTTTCATGTCTAACGTTTGACTCGCCTCTATAAAAATGAAAAAAAAAAAAAAAAAAAAAAACATAAATCGTAATAAAAAGATTTCCATCATCACCACCTGCAGGGATTTTAAAGAAAACCGATGACGGTAAGTTCAAGATAAAATGATTTAAAGTGAAACCTGATGTTTAAAATGTTGTTCAATTCATTTGTATCAATTTACTGTAATACATCCATCTCGCTCGCTACATTATAGTTCTCACTTGTTTAAAGCTTAAGTAAAATTCCTGCCATAAGGCAAACGCGTAAAACTTTTTTCTTCTCTTAAAAAATGCAATTTTTATTTACACAATAATAATATAGAAGTAAGCTTCGACTCCGTAATGCCTTACTATACTATACTATACATATACCTTTCTATGCACATATTTCAAAACATGCAACAGTCCGTTTTGTGCCACTACCGCCAGTTGGCAATTCGTTTTGTCAAAACGCTTCGAATACCTACTGAAAGAATCTATGCTTGTCGGTCTATCCGGTCGGCGTAATTTGTATGGCAAGCATTCTAAAAACCTGAAATATTAAGATATCAACTTTAAATTTGTGATTAACACACAGTGCTACTGATAATTAGCAAATTGATGGAAAGACATGACTATAGTACAAGCCGAAAATGCACATCTCTCCTTCCGAAAGCAACAAAAAAAATGAGTTTTTTGCTCGTTGCTTACTATAAACGTTGCAACGTTAAAGCTATCTCCGCCTATTCGATGGATGGTGCTGCGACGTGCAGAGGTCAGACTAGTATCGCTAGTATCTCACTTCTTGTTCAAAATGGGCAGAATAAAATATTCAGCTACAGCCGAATGTCAGTTTCTGACTTGCTTCTCTCCTATTGTCATGGACTAAGCAGATGCCTTGTACGCTGGGGTTATATCGCTTCTTACCGCTTTTTTGTATGGTTTACCGCACCAGGAATCAAATTTGAGTAGCACTTCTACATATTACTGCTGCCTTGGCCTCAATCCCAAATCCTATTGGCCTGTTGGCGCCTTACTTTAGCATCATCTCATTCTCGGCTTGTTACCAAAATCTCGTAAGCGAGTCACATAAAAGGGCCGAATCGAACCCTCACCGCAATCCTCGTTACGTTCATTTCGCAAATTGGGCTGTTAGACGCGTTCGTCTGCTCGTCCGTTTCATTTTCTAGCTTGAAAATGATGATTAACTCGGGATTATATATGGTTTCTATTAAAGATCGCTCCTAATAGAACTCCATCTTCAACCGCATTTCAAGGGCAATCTCTTTTTCCCATTGATCGCGAAAATAATCAATTCGTATCACGAATTATTCATCGGCCTTCACCGCTCTTCTTACCTTCCGATATTATTATAACGGTTTGAAAAGTCGTTTAGATCAATTGCGATCGTTCGTTCTATTAATGAAATCATTGACCTAAAAATAGGACTTGCAATAACTTGAGGAAAGAAATCGTCGCTCTTTTCGATAAGATTTACGATTAATGTACTGAAGTCACGTGAAATTTGATGATTTGATTCGTTTTCGAATATACGTTATACGCGATCGTAGAGTTCATCCATCAGTGGCTGCAAGTGCGCTTTGCTTTTGAAAATCTTTGAATCTATGGATTTCCAATTGTATGTAAATACAATTTTCCCCAAGTAAAGGAAAATATTGTAAAAATGAGTTCTAATACTATATATAGTTCGCGATTGAGAACAAGAGCTAACACTACATTAAGTTAAATAGTTCCGCACAGAAATATGTAGCCAAACCGTATAGATCATTCTTATATCCGAATAGCAAATGAAAAGCATCTGAACTACATACGCAAGACGTTTTCGAATCAAAATCCGCTTCGCGGACTTGGCGTTTTTTGTACGTGGTTCCTGCTTGCAATCAAAAGATCCCTTAATGCTCTAAGTGCTAGACCTCTAAGTTCTTGTTTTAAGTTTTCAGCAAAAATTCGCTCAATAATGTTTGTATGTTTACCGGTACAAATTATGAGAGCAACTATCAATGATGGTCTAAAAAATACTAAGCCTTCAAAACGTCTACCATTATATTCAAATATACTTTTGTTTAAAATCTGCTAAGTCATTAGAATGAATATATTAAATAAATTCATATATATTATCTAAGAGATCAACACATCTAAAAAATATTAAGCCCTCAAAAAATATATCATCAAATAAATTTATATGTATGCTCTTCTAAAAACTAGTAAATCTTCGCAAAAAATGTCATATAATGAATTCATACATGAAATATAAAATCTTTGAGAGACTTATCTATATTATGATTTAAAAACTACGAAGTCTTGGAAATACTCTTCGATACCAATAAGTATACGTACAGGATGGCGAAAGAATATTAAGCTTTCAAACTCCTTTTTATATGTTCCTGCAGTTTGGGGAGACCGACTAACGCAGATCCTTTTCCACATTTACCCTACATTGATCAGAAAATTCCTGCGGCCGTTACTTTCCCAAGTGATAACAACAAATTTACAAAGAACCATAACTGAGATGTAAGCTTCAATCCTAGGAAAGCCAACCAAATCCAAAGCCAAGTTTATCTTTTTTTTTTCTTAGGCTAGATATCCCCAAATGGTCTCAGTACAATCTTTGCCTCCTGTGGCAAATTGCAAACACTTTTATAAGTTTAATGCTTTATTTATTGACGTAGGGTATAGAAAATTGAATTATTGGTATTCAATAGGTGCGGAATTAAAAAGAAAAGAAATTCATTCAGCACAATTTACTTATGCAGCGCGCTAATCCAATTGATAAGAATATTTCCCATAACCGCCAGCGTAACACGCTGATGAATAATGAAATTGGTTTCTCAGTGAAATGTCAAGATAATCCAACCGCAAAATGTATACTGATACGTTTTGAATTTTAAAAAACAAGACACTTTACGTGAACGAGTGTTTGTGTATGCAAATAGCTCTTTAGAAATATGAAATCAACCGATAATCAAGTAACATATTCAACAAAAAGTAATAATACAGTATATACACTTCTTGTTATATAGATATAGAAGGTATAGGATAGATGTATGTATATCTTCATATTAGGTAAACAAACAAAATTTATTTGCTTGTAAAATCACGTGCTGCATAAACTATAAGCATAAGCATATTATATATTAATATGCAACATGAAGCTCACTCTTCTCGGCTTCTCCTGTTCATGCATCATAATCCTTCGGGAATGTTGGCCATTTAACCTTACATTTATTGTGTATTTGAAATGGTATAAAATAAAATTTATTAACATCAATGATGCAACGCGACTCCATTAATTCAATAGATAGAAACAAAATTCGTAATGCCTGCCCATCTCTCCTTATACATACACACTCACACACACATATCTGTATAAATATGATATTAGGGAGAGAGAGAGAGAGAGAGAGAGAGAGAGAGAGAAATGAAGCGCGAGAGAAGGAGTGAGAGAACAAAAAAAAACAGTCAAATTCCTTTCTTGCCAATCTATTAGTTTTACTTAAAGCACAATATCACAAGCTGAAAAAAAGAAAACCGTATCAAAACAACAGGTATTTACTTGTTTCGGCTAATCTTTTTTTCTTCTTCTTCTTCTTCTTGTTCTTTTCATCACTCATGTATTTGTCGAGATATTAATGCCTTTTTTTTTCTGTTTTTTGCTTGACGACTTCTCGCTAATAGCTTATGCAGGCAACTCGTGAATATTTAAACGGGCATTTTGAGATTTCATCACAGACCAGCTAACGGCTCGTTTACCTGCTCCTTTCCTTCTTGCTTGCCAAACTTATCATACGTATGTATGTATGTATGTATGATAGTAACAATTTGCAGCATGAAATGTTCAAAGGGCGTTTATTCATTCTAGATATGCATACGATGTTATGTTATTGTTATTGTTGCGATTTTTCCCCCCTTTCGTTTTTTTTTTGCACTGAATAACAGACAAGTATATGTTTTGCTCATGTATTTAATTTGTATTCATTGTTGTTAAATGGTTTAATAACTTTGGCCATTTAGCATTAAAATTACGTATGCATATATGTCAGAGAGAAAGGGGTAAAATTTTTTTTCGCTACCTTTAGTAAATATGAAAACCGAATCTCATTGCTAGATAGTTGGGAGGAAGATATGAAAAGTTGTTGTTTGACGACGATACATTTACTTAAGGAACAGTCAAACATTTTCAAATCCAAACTTTGTGGTTGGATAAGGCCGACACTGAATACCCTGGACAAGTGCTGAATGAACAATGAGTCGTAAAAATGATCCTATCTAATTCATTTTTTAATCAAATTAGTCCTTGGACCATTCATTAAAATATCTCGAAATGATTCTAAATCGGTTGGGATAACAAAAGGTAGTCCTCACTGGAACCATCTGTGTTCATCCAGTTAAATTTTAAAGTACTCTTTAGCGTAGACGATGTACTGTAAAAATTATTCTCTACCAGACCATTTAAAAAAACAAGTGAAAAAGCTATGCTCGTCTTCTGACGAATCTTTGACATTCTTTATGTCAAACAAGTGCCCTGAGGTAAAAAAGATTTTGCCTGGTCCTAGGAAATATTTTTATCACATTCTACCATGGATCAATACCTTTATAGGCTGAAGGTAATCGTTTTTTGCGTACGTTTTTGTGCGCATGCCGCCCGCTGGCGCACACTTCCTCAAAAATATTTTTATCAATTTCTATATGACACTAATTTAAATTGTATAGGCGGGAGGTTGCAGTTGTTTTGGGTATGTGGTCGGTCGCCGCTTTCCGATAGTTAATGTTTTGCTGCTCTTAGGTAATATTTTTATCAAATTCTATTACAGATCAATATCCCTTATAGGTCGCAAGTTATAATTTCTTGTGTTCTTCTCGCGGAATTCTTACTAACCTTCTTTTCACCTTGGCAGCATTGTCACAAACTACCAAGAAAATTTGCAGAGAGTTGTTATATTTGGCGAACAATTCACCAACATATACTTTAGTGCTTTTGCTGATTTTTCCAAAGACCAGGGAATTAGTAAAGATATAAAGTGAGTCGAGACGTTCTGGTATATTAGTTGCTGAAGAGTAACGAAATTGCACTTCATAATAGAAGAAGAGCTATTAGAAGAATCGCTGAAGAAACGGAAATTCACTGCAAGCCATAATTTACTACAAGTTACTTCATTTCGTAAATGGTTTTTTTCTTCGTAACCTCAAAAAAATAATCAAGAAGAAGCGAGAAGCGCAGTATGAGTGTTTTTCAAGCGGAAGTTTCGTTTGTACAAGTGTAAAGCATCAGCCAGAAGTTACATTATAGAGATCCTAATAAATATTCGAAATCAGATAAGTAAATTTTGAAAGAAAGCTCAGGATATCGCAGAATTGATTATACAAGAAATGGCTAATCATTTAATTAAAGCAAATTAAAAACTAATTCCAAGTTTGTAGAACGCATTTAGATAGCAAAGTTTTCGGGTTCGATCAATTCAAAAATTCATCCATTGTTCGCGTAGAGTGAATCAGCTCAAAACGAAATTGTTTCTACATTTTCAGACGTAGTATTTGGCAGTAATCCCAGTAATGCGACTTCGTTGCAGTATGGCCAGCATTATTCCAATTCTAAAGTTGAACATCCAGATTCAACTACGCATACGCAGCTAAGCAATCACCATACGTCAACTCAAACGCATCATCACCATCATCATCATCATCATCCACATCATCATCACCATCCAAATCATACGCAAGCCCCGCATTTACATCATCACCAGCAACACACACAACTTAGCCCACATACGTCGGCTTTCAAATTCAATCATCACTCGAGTGTTTTAAATTCGACCGCCGCCAGTGTATATCAACATTATAATAACCAAACGACGGGAGCATATAGCTTGAGATCACCGGGAGATCTTTCAACTTCATTGACATTAGGTCCAGTATCGACGACAACAACAGATATTGGTGACATCAAATACGAAAGCCCCTACAATGCAGCAATATCATCAACATATGCGCTAAGACCAGGTCAAAGTGTGGACTCGTCTTCGACTGTTGTGTCATCCACAGATTCTGAATTTAAATTGGACGGCCTTTACGCTAACAACAGTAGCATTTCAACAAATCATCCGGTAGGACAAAGAAGAGGATCATTACAATTATGGCAATTTTTGGTAGCACTTCTAGATGAACCTACCACAAAGTTAGTACATTTGCTCTAATTTTCTTCAATAATTATATTATGTAATAAATAATTTTAAATTATTTAAAAAAAAAAAAAAAAACTAGCTGCATTGCTTGGACTGGGCGTGGTATGGAATTCAAACTGATCGAACCAGAAGAGGTAGCCAGACGTTGGGGTATACAAAAGAATCGCCCTGCCATGAATTATGACAAACTTTCACGCAGTCTTCGCTACTACTATGAAAAAGGTATAATGCAAAAAGTTAATGGAGAGCGTTACGTCTATCGCTTTGTTTGTGATCCTGAAGCTCTGTTTAGTATGGCTTATGGTCATTTGGGTGCTATAAGTTCAAAGAGTGAGCAACCACATCAACTTCATCCAATATTAGGCAGTGAGAGTTCCATTAAAAATGCCAACGAAACTGCACGCGACATTGCCGAGCCCAGTAGCTTAGAGGAAAGCTCTAATCGTGGTAGAAGCCAATCGTCAATTAATGAAACTTCGGCAGCCTTCTCTTCGAAGCTTATATATGGATCGGAGAATTTCCACCGTATTTAATAATCGTTCGATAACGTTGTACATCAAACTTGAAGCGTGGAAGGTAAAGTACATTTTATTAGCTTCCCAAGTTTGAGGAAAGGAAAAAATTAGTTTGATTTTTACGGGAATAAGTAGTCTCAGTAGTTCCAGTTTATTCGTAAGAATCTCGAGATTGGCTATTCATCGCATATGAAGGGAATCCTTTTTTATACAATTATCGAAATTTTAAAGCCTTTTCCTTCTTTTATTATACCCTACAATCCCTATGGTATAGGACATCTTACTTTTTCGTCCACTCCTCATACAATGCCTTATTTTCAAAACTCGATATATGGAAAAATATTGCAATTTTTAAATTTTTTCGAGAAAACTCGTTGTGTAATAATATTTCTTATCTAAGAAAAAGGAATCTTTGTAGGATAAAAAGGTCTAATTGTCAATATTTCATGGTGAAAATTGGTTCATAGGAGTAAATTGGCAAAGAAATCAACGTTGCAGAATTTAGACCGAGACCATATACTCTTTTGAGAACTCTTATATTTGGACCGCATAGAAGAATTCTCAAATTTTATGCCGACAATTTGTTTATGATAGTAATTCGACATAAATTAAATTGATGAAATTTGATCCACATGGGTCTACTCTTTAGACCCATTCCTTATAAGATTTCTAATGAATAGGAAGACTTTCAGAAAAGGGTTTAATTTTTAATATTAATAATAGTAACAAAATAACCAAAAAAATGAACAGCAAGGAATTTGGATCACATAGGTCTATGTTTTTGATCCTAACATACCATAAACAGCAACCCCTTGTATGAAGAGGAAATGTAATTTCATGTTTTCTACGACGAAAACTGGAAAAAAACACCATCTTTAGGAAGTGAGTTCAATTTCGATCAAATCATATGATATTTTGCAAAACACGGTCCTTCACAAAAAGTGCGAGGTTCCCTGAAAATAACATGTTATTACCAGAACAAGTGAATAACTGCACTAGGCGAAGTGATGTAGGGTACTTAATAGTCGGGCTTGTCCGACGATAATGTTCTTGCTTTCGTTTGTTTTATGTTTCATTCTACCTGTTTCCATATTTTCGAACTGATTACCATAAGCCTCATTGCTTTATAGGAAATTTTAAATATTAAGTTTTAATTCCAACAACGAGAAAGTTTCAGAACGTTTGAGAATATTTATTAATAACCTTTATAGACAAATGTAAATTAAATCGAATAAATACAATAAAACGATATGAATGAAAAACAACTACAGTGACAATCACAACAGTATGCACACAATTTTACTGAGTACCAAAAAAAAAAAAAAAAAAAGAATAATTTTTTTTTTAAGAAGCTTTCACTTTCTTTTCGGGTGATGGACCATTTTCCATTTTCTCTTTAATTTCTTCAGGATCGTTCATCTCATGCAAATTTTCGTCACATTTACGTTTTTCTGCTTTCGCTTTCTTTTCTTTAGCCATTTGTTCAATGTACGCTTTGATTTTGTCTGGTTGCGGACTATAAGCCCAATGTATTAATTGCATATGCAACTCTGTAGGTTTCCCATCTTCAACATTGAATAATTTACTTTCTTCAGTTTTGATTTTTTCTAAAATTTTCTTTATATTTCTATTGCGTACTATATCCCAAGATGTTTGATCACATTCTTCCGGATACAAAGTACGTAGATGTTTGTAATTTCCGTGCACTTTTGCCCCACCATAGACCTTAATGAACTCTGCTTGCAGTTTATCAATCGGTTCAGGTAATTCAACTATGAAATCATAGGGTAAATATGCTCGATTATCTTTCATCATATTTTCAGTTTCAAATTTCTCTAGGAAATCTTCTAACATTTGAATGCCTTCCTTAATAGATTTGATTTTCTCTTCGTTTTTAGTACCAGCAAGTACGCGTTTAGCACTGCCGATCAAACCCTTAATTGCAAATTTTTGATATTCAGGATCACGATCTTCCAAAATTCTGTAATCATTTTCAAAAAAAAAAAAAAACAAGAAATTAATGATAATTTCCGCACGCACTTGTAATATTTTGTTTAAATTATTATTTATGGAAAAGGAAGCAAACACTTGGCAAAAGCTAAACCAAAACTGGTACATTGGACAATGGGACAAAATTCAGGTCATTGCATACACGTTAATTAATCGTCATCGTAGTTAGGCATTCTAGACCATCTTTCTAAAAGTCAAAGAACTAAGAGCTTCGAGATAGAGCTCGTTAAAGAAAGAAAAACGAATTACGCGGCATGCTCGTACAAGGCCCACGTTGAGCTTGAAAGGGTTAACAAGAGATATTGAAGAGAAATTCATTTTATAAGCAAAGCAACCTTCCACCTTCTTGTTGACTCAACTTAAGAAGAATGAAAATCAAAGAAAAAACATTTTCTTGAAGACATCTCAGAATTTCGATTCATTATTGACTCGAACTTAAGGCTTTGAAGACGTCAAACTCACGAAAAATATTTCTACAATAGCTTAAAGAACATATTGTGCCCGAAAATAATCACATCCGAAAATCCGCAAGAGAAATGTTGAATTAAAGAATTTCTCGTTGTTTGGACAAAATTAACATTAATCCGAATGAATTTTTACAGTCTTTTATGACCGCTATCAACAAGTGATGATCTTATCTTAATACAAGCCAGTGAAGTTAACTCTGCGAACTTGCAACGTTTAAGGTGAAAATCATCGACGATTTTCCTCTTTTATAAGAAAAGGATGTTTCCAATACGCTTCGCTTGCTATTTCGAAAAGCCACTGGTAAGTAATTTAATTGTATATCAAGTTTTTATAAGGATTTTATCTTATGATGGGCAAATTTAGCGCATTTTCAAGACCATAGACGGTACATAATTTTCAGTTTTCTCACCTCATCTTTTGCAATCGTTAGGATTGTGACAATGAACCGATAAATGAGTATTGGAGCAAACTGACTAACTGGCTAATATTGTTTAGAATCTTGATATGCCAATAATACGTACTCGTTATCAGTGAGAAGCCTCTCTCTGGCTGTTATAGACGCAGCAATAAGCCTAACCTAAAAAATGTCTTGTGGCAGCGAAAATCCACATTTAGTTGTTTGATAACACATTAAATTTAAGGTTAATCCGCCTGAGTGGCCAAGTAGGCAAGAGTCTCGACTAGCAACTCAATGGTCGTGGGTTCAAATCTCAAGTGCGGTAGAGTTTTCAATAAAGCCGAAAGCCTTAGATGCTAGTGCTTTAAGACTTAAGTCTTAGAATTTATTCTCTGGCTGAATTTATAATAATAATAATAATAAAATTCAGGTTTTTGAAGGAAATTTTAAGTAAACCATCTTGAAAAGAACTCCATTATTATCCTAGGACTTTCAAATTGAAGAAGAAATAGTCACTAATACAGATCACAAGGCCCGAAGCAATATAAAACTTAAAAACTTGTCATTATTTTGGCATTTTTAAATGCTGCTGATTGCTTTCGACGGTTTGCGAATGGATAAAAAAATGAAAAAAAAAGAACAACAGGAAGAATAACAGTAAAGGCCGAAAATACAGAAAATACAGAAAAAATTTTAAGTAAAATATTCAAGAGAACAGCAACTATGACTTATTTGCAAAAATTCTTTATATTCTTCACAAAAACACATTACAATAGGAATGGCAGAATATATTGGCGAAAAATCTTTATCCCTCTCATCTGTCCCGTCTATCTTAGAAACGTCCCATCTATTATGTTTAACGCGTTCGGCTTAGGTAAGCAAGAAAATATTCTCAGTGCCGTGTGTATTATGTATTATGTTCCACAAGAAGCTATGGTGATGCCACCCGCATTGCACAGCATATGATTATTGTATTGCAAATCATTATGCTGTCACTATTTCTACTCGAATGGAAAACTTTATGATAAATATGCAGTAAAGAAATGTAAAACGAACAGTGCCGAAAATAAATATAAATATTCACACATATGTTCACCCGCACATCTAACAAAACTTACTAAACGTACATTTGATTATAAATTAATGTTATATATGTACATAACGAATGAAACAATAAAAAATATAGTGATTCTAATATAATGAATTTACAACCAAGAATATAAACAACCAAGAATTCTATAAACCGCTATATGACATCATTATAAATATTGAACTATTGCATATGTATATATGTATAAATCATATATAATATTCATATTTGTCTTAAAATGCAATGTAAAAATATATTGACACCTGACTGAACAAACGAATTTACGTTCAATGAAATCACTTTGGAATGTTTTAAGTTTTTCCTTCTTACTTTGTTTTACTTACTTTAAAGTAGTTTTAACAGCTTCTTTATCTTTAAAGCCCAAGCCGGGCACTGTCTCCACTTTGTCCTCTTTATCAGTTTTGCTATTTTGATTACCAGCACCGCCACCATTCTCGTCCAACCATTTCTCAAAAACGTCTATAGCTTCACTAATGTTTTTTAATTTATCTTCAGCTTTAGTCACTATAGCGAAACAAAATGTATAAATAAAATGTAATTAAATTATTTGAAGGATTTTTTGTTATTTAGAACACATACTTGATAAAACACGTTTGGCTCGACCTAGTAAACCGCGCACAGTTAGTTTCCGATATTGCATATCATGACTTTCCAAACGGATTAAAGTTTCCTCAGCCTTTTCCTTATCTTTGAAACCAAATTTTGATTCGCCATTACTGTTAACGTCAGACATTCTTAAAAAATATTCAGCGCTTGTATATTAATAGGAAATGACCAACTACAACTGAATTTTATATTCGAATTTTTTCCGAAATTTGAAATACTTAGTACCAACAACCGCTAACAAACGACAACAAACGAGCAATATGTGTTTCAGTGTTTCCAAAGGCTATTGAAAATTCTGTGAGAATTTATAGAGAGTCTTTTGTTGAGCAGCAGTAGATTAAAAGACCAATAAGCACGCACATTAACGCTTATGTCATTATATTGTTCTCGAATATTTAAATAATATGATGTCATAGAGAGGGGGAGAGAGAGAAAGAGAGACATCAAAAGGTGCAATTAATGTGATATGTACATATATATGTATGTATAATGTAATAGCGTCAGCCGTTCTTCATAGTTCTAATATTGTTTTGCGAATTAAAAAAAATCTGAATTAAAAAAAAGAATTTAAGAAAAATGTTTTCTTAAATACCCCTCTTATGAGCCTGTGACCTTGATTTCTTATGTGTTTTGTATATATAAAAGAACAAATTTGTAATGTTTCTTGAACCTAAAAAATATTTAAAGCTTATTTTGGTTGATTCATTTGATAATTTACGATAACAAATAACGTAGAATCGAAACAACTTTTATTGCATTATTATTATCAAACTTTATTTCGAACATACATATCTAGTTTACGGTATAAATTAATGGTAAGATTTACAAATATGTCGAGTTATTATAAACATAAATGGAAATAATTAACATATACATGTACTTTCTACATTCATATTTCTTTCAATCCCACGCTGAGAGTGATTTCGTTGCCTTTGAGCTTTCACATGGAATCAAGCAAAATAAATTACAATTTCATCATTAAAACAAATCAAATGATATCGGCAAAGGTTCTCAATTTTAGCGAAATCAAATTCAAATACATTTTTGTATAACGGAAATACGAAGTTGCTGTCTGCGATTTTGCGATAAATTAGTGGTTGACAAAACATTGCTTTATACTCGCGTGTTCATTTCTTCACAAAAAAAGATAGCAAAAGTGCTTAAAGTAAGCTAAAAGGAAAAAAAAGGAAAGAATAATAATCAAAGAAATTATGTTTCCCTATTCTTCACCTTTACCTTAAAATTAATGAAAAAAATTACCAGAATTAAAAAGAATTTTCATACTCTACAACGTGTGGTGGATCAAGCTGATTTTTTTCATTTTTACCGATTTTTACCAATTAAATGCGTAAAATGCAATTTTTTTTACTTGTCAAAATTAGATATGTTCTCAACTTACCCTGACGTGCCTTTTGACGGATTTGGCCACTTTTTTGTACAAATACTTGCAATGCTACTGTCAAATTCAAAGCCAACATCTTTATTTTTACAACTGAGAGTACGCTATCACAAACAGATTTACATATGGACGGAGAGGTGGGCAAACGTTTCCGCTTCAAACTTTGATACTGATCACGAATACATCTGTTTTACACGATTCTCTTCATTTAAAATCATCATCTTCGACAAAAGCATTGAAATCAATCTCAAAGTAAATGGATTATTGAGTAATGTAAAGACAAAAGATTTCTTTCAATTCACATCTACTGAACTTTAATGTCAATTAACAGTACTCTTATTAGAGTTTAATTTGCGACATTGGCTAAAATACTGTAAAATAAACGAATTGTAATAAATTATATTCTCGAAACAGTGCAATGCGATTTGCAAAATTTTAAGCCTGGCAGTACCATAGTATAACTCCTTGTAAAGAAATGTCAATTGCTTGTTACTTGTGCAAGAGAGAATAGAATACATATATGTATAGATTTTTAGGTGGCTTTTTAGAAAAATTTTTTTAAAAAATTGTATGAAATAATTATTTAATAAATAAACAAGCAGAAAAATGTTATAAATGTATACATAGAGATGCAAAAGAAACAGCCTTACAGTTGGGATTATTAATAAAAGATTTTCAAAATCTTAATGGCCAAAAGCAGACAGCGGCTGCAAGGCAGCAACAAATTGAAAACAACAATAAAAATATAGATATACTATATACAAAAACGTAAACAAATTAGAGTATAAACAAAAAACCGACAACTATAATAATAATTGAAAGACGCGAATAAGCAGCAATGTCCAATGATGTCGTACATTTGGCTAGAGTTAGTAAAATACAACGGAGTACAGATGCAGCTAAAGGCACCATAGTAGCTAATACTAGTGGCAGACGTTGTATATCTAGATTGAATAAAGTAGAATTACCGGATGATGTAAAGGCATCGCAAGAAGAATGTGAATATCTTTTTGGAAGCATTAGTCCCAGGGGCGGTATGGCTCAGCTAACAAGCGATATAGAATCGCCAGATCATACGCAACGTGACACCACCGAAAGCGATAATAATATTAGTTCCTGTTCTACACTGGACATTGTTAATAAGGTAAGTTATTAAAAGGGTATTTGTTTGGGTTTGTAAGGAGCCTCTCTGGGGGGGTGCTGCATTTATGCGCAGCTGCGTGACAATGCAAGTAATGCCGGGTTGAGAGGAGCTCGTAGAAGAAGAGGGGTAAGTGCTGCACAATTTGTCTATTGTAAAGTTCATTGCGAAATTTAATCGAAATCGAAAGTTGAACATAACACAAACGCAGCAACGGCAACGACGTAATCACCACCAACACCAATGGTCAAATTGCTTATCAAAACTAAGCGATATGATCTCGGAACAGCTGTTAAGACGCAGTCTAAGTTGTATGTGTTGTTCGGAACAGCAGCGTCAAGAATCTAGGCAAAGACGCCAGGAAATGCGTCGCAGTTGGGAATACACACTAGTCTCACAGCCGATGCCCTTACAACCAATTAATGTTTGATAAACGCGTAATTCACAAAAATAATATTTGATTACAGAATATTTTTTCTGTTATGCTTTCCAGATTGACAATTTATCATTGCAACAGTTAGAAACGAAAGTGCGTGAGCTGTCGCAGCGGCTGCAACAGGCCGAAGAACAAAGATCGGCCGTACAACGTCAATTGGAGGAATGTAATGCGGAAAAGGAATTATGTTTGAGACGTTTAGAAATTGTAAGCGCTGCCCATGAATGCCGAATCACCGAAATGCATTGTGTAATAGCAGAGCTAAGTAAAAAATTGCGTATTAAACAAGAGAATATCATAATGGAAGAACAAGAACCGGAAGGCAGTGGTTAGTCCACATGAGACGCGAATGTGGATGTACGAGTAAAAATAAAAAATGCCTTATTTCCTTTTACCTTTTACAGAGATTAGTTATCAGGAAGGCTCTGTTTACAATTCAGAAATAAATCTTACAAATCCTGACGCTGAATGTCAAACCGACCCTTTAGAAGAAACTGATTATTCACATGCGGAAATGGACAACAATTTCGTTCAGGAGACTACTGAAGAGCTGAAGTTGAATGAAAACGCGAATAAAGGACAGGTGGAAGTGAGTTTTCGGGAAAATCAAGTGTATTTTTTTTTTACAAAATTTTCTTCTAGGCTCTCCAAGAGGAAATTTTGCATTTAAAGGCGCAAATTGCTTTGTTGCAATCGGAGATAGCCAATGCCAATACAACTGGTGTTAGTAATGCTGTTGAGGAACCGCAAAATATCCAACATTATAGAGCAGAAGTAGAAGCCACGCAGAGTCTAGAATCTATTGAACCCACAACAATGCATTTATTATCAACGCAAGCTTACAAAGGTGGTGGAGAGGACGAAGAAGAGCTTTATGATGATTTTAATGACTTTAATAACACATCAACTTTGACTGCTGAAGATACTTACGTAACTAGTCCGCACAAAAAGCCGGCCGTACCAAAGATGGCTGAACGCATCCGTTTGAAATGTGCTAGTAAATCGGAAGCCGAAAACATCACGGCCTTGGATTTAAGGAACACTGAAGTAGGTTACTTTCTTTGAGGGATATAAAAAAAGTATTTTTAATAATTCTCAATAGTTGAAAAATGCTAATATTGTCGAGCATTTGGTATCCGATTTGAAGCTGAACAGTCATAGTTTAATGGAGGCATTTGCGGAGCCGTCGCAACTCAACCATGAACTTCAACGTTTGCAACGCAAAACCGAGCACTTAAAGGTGCAAAATACCGTGTTATCTTTAACTTTGGACGAGTCCAAAGAACATTGCGAACATTTATATTTGCTTTGCGGTAAATACGAATCGAATGCTATCGCTTTACAGGCCGCTTTAAATTGCAGTGATCGGGCGATTGAAGCCTATGATGTTATGTTGGCATTATTGGAGAGCAAGTAAGTGGGAAGGATAAAGTTGTCGTAATCATGTAATAACTCTTTTTTTATTTCATTTTCAATAAAGATTGGCTTTGATGAAAGAAAAATCCTTAGCCTCCGAAGAAAGTCGCAAAGCTGTGGAGGCAGTAGCTCGTCATTTACTTGACCGTTTGGAAAGCGAAAAGAATATGTGCGAAAATAGCTTGGGCCCGTGGCAAAATAGTTTTAGTATACCGGATAAGCCTAACTCTATGCCATGGACAACCGAGGATGATAATCGCCTGCGTTACCACGTTTCAAAATTAAAAGGACGGCGTGCCACCGTTCAAAATACAATTGTTCAGTTGGAATCGCCGTTTAGTGACGCCTACGAAAAGTCTCGAGTGGCATTGGAAAATAAAAAAGAACTCAGTGGTCACAAAGAGAAAGTGACGACCCAGTTAGATTTAGAAATGGCGGTTTTAATGCAAGAATTATTGAATCTACGGGAAGAGAGTATAGCGTTGAAAATGAAAGCTGAGCAGGCTGATCGAGAAAAGCAATACGCTAATGATCGTATTGGTGTGTTACATGAAGCCCTTAAGCAATTGCAGTTACAATTGCAATTAAATAACGAATCGACAGAGCTGTTTCATCGTCAACAGCAGCAACATCATCCCATCAACTGGATCAACGTAACTCCACATATTCCGAAGCAGAGCATACTGCACTAACCGAACAACAATTAGTGGAGGCTTTGTCACGCGAATCAGAGTTAAAGGGACGAATACAGAGTTTAATCGCTTCGGTAACAGAAACGCAGAAGATCTCCGATGAAAAATATGAACATTTGCATAACAATGTCCGCGAACTACAAAAAGCGAATCAGTAAGTGTTAATATGAAAAATGCTTTTCGAATTTCTATTAGTGGAATTAACGCATAGCAAAAAAGCTAAAAATTTTCTAAAGAGATGGAAATTTTTATTATTTTAATAATTCGTTTATATATTTACAAATTGTAGAAAATGTGGAGAAATTAGCCAAATTAACCTACGGTTACATTTGACAAATTTTCGCAAACGAAAGTTATTGACGTGATGGACGTTTTTGTGTTTTCTTTTAATTTTCCAGAAATCTCACCCAAATTATTGAGCAAAACAAACGTAAATACCAAGTGCGTATAAGAAAATTGGAACACAAAATTATGAATATGTCTTTGGAGTTGGGTCGGCAAGCGGCTTACCATCAGCAGCAAACAGATCCGACGTCATCTGTAGATACTGCTGTGATCTTTGAGAAATATCATAAATATAAGCAGCACAACACCACCTCTTCTTTGCTATCACCAACTCATGTAAAACATGATAGTGTTCCTGAAACAACATTGTAGTGAGAGCAAAGCGCTAACGCAAACCTTACTTACTAGCTGCTATAATCTATTTTAATCAGTCTTAGCATATCTTCTTTGTAGTGTCTTTTCCTGCCAATTTACTTTCCACTCACTTTCTAGTGTTAAAAGCCTTTTCATTCAGTTGAATGTAGAATTTAATTATTTAGGCCTTTTTGTTCGTACTAATTATAGTAATAGTTAAATTATATATTTTTGCCAATTGCCTCAATTAAAACAAAAAAAAAAAAAAACAAAAGAAAGCTAAAAGGACAGTAACACGTAAATGTGCCATTAATTGAAAGCAGAGATTTTCAACCTACATAGTACTACACCCATCGTGAGTATACACAAAACTCGATAAATTTTTTTTAAGTAAAAAGTTTATTAATTCCATTTTTTCTATTTTTTTTTTCAAATCAAACCAAGGAGGATCAGGACAATATCCAAAATCCTTTCCCGTTAATCTTGTACTTCCACCGTTCCTCAACTAGTTTCCATATAATTTTACTTTCTTTTTTTCTTTATCCCTAGTTAAACCATGCATATATTCAATAGTGTCCCCCTTCTCCAATTTTCCGTTTACCTTGGCAAAGCAAACGTGTAATCGATTAAAGCAACAGGCAATAGTTCTGACGAATGGAGCGGGTGAGTTTGTACTAAATTTCCAAAACCTAGTAATTAGTTTGGAACGTCTTGCGTGAATTCAGTTCACTGATTTCAGTTTTTGACTTCACGTCGCTAATGATTACGAGCAAAATCTTTACTTTGATTTTAAAAATTTACTACACCTTACAATTTCCTGATCTTTGATGTTGATCTTTCACGTAACAGGTGTTTGTCGAAAGTCAATTTTATTAAGAGACCTGATCTACTCACAACTAGTTCGTTAACTTTCCATCGTTTTCCTTCAAAGTAACGCTTATATAAATAGGACTTGCTCCAAATCTGCTTTTTCTCATCCGTAGCTTTAAGTTGGAATCTTTTAGTTGTTTTTCTTTTTAAAGCTTGACGTTAGTATGACAATATAGCACACGTCTAAAGTTGCGTATGTAAGAAATACATGAAACAAAATTTCTTTTGCATTCTTTCCTTTTATATTACACATTTTTTATATAATTCCCGAATAATAATAATAATGATAATAGTTGGCGATTAAAAATGGTTGAAAAGCTCTGATTTAAATATTTGAATATTTTTTGGTTGACAAAAAAAATTTATTCAATAGAAGTTATTGGAATATATTCGCTCATTAAATACTTAAACAATTTAATTATCATATACTATGAATATTATTAGCAAAGTTAGCCAATTTGGCCGAGTTGTTGAAATACATAAAAATATCTAAAGCGGCTTATATTTGCTTTCTTTTTTTGTCAAACGAAAATGAAAACAAAAAAAAAAAAAAAAAAAAAAAAATAAGTAAAGCAAGAAGATAATATAATGCATAAAAAAATGAATGGCTTTAATTTCAGATACTTTACAAAAAAAAAAAAAAAAAGCAAAAACCGTGGTTTTATTGTAAAAGCTTTACAAGTTAACTAACTGGCGGCGATATGTTTTCTTCATTGTCCTGTTCAGGTTCATGTTCCATCGCACTTTCTTCTTCAGCTTCATTATTCTCTTCCGGATGACCGTTCATTTGCTCGCTGCCGTTCATTGCGGGAGTAATTTCTTTCTCAGCTATCCGTCTTCGGGCTAAATGTATTTGTTTTTCCATTTCTACGCATTGTTGTTCAATTTCGTAATTTTTCGATACCAGAGACACCCAATTGGCTTCCAACGTGCGCAGTTTTTCCCCAGCCTGGGTCTGAGTTTGTTTTCTTTGCCAATTTACATCTTGTATTTCCTTTTTTAAATGTTGCAATTTTGTGTGGGCTTTCGCCTGCATAGCCACAAATACTTCCAAGTAAGCTTTCCACGCTTCAATACCATAGTCAAGCATTAATTCGAGATTCATGGCCCGTACCCATTGATGTTCCAGCTGAGCCTTGGAATTATCGATAGACTCTTCCCAAGCGGACACTTCGGAGCGCCCTGTCGATGGTGGTGGCAATTCGTAGCGCTTCATGCTTAATGTCTCCATAGGTACACGGTTTTGTATGCGTTCAAATTCTTGTGACATTAGCTTTGTTTCGAACGCGGACGTATTCAAAGGAGGTAAATGCTCTAAATAATTTTTAGTCGGACGATAACGGCGACATTCTTCTTCCACCATAGCTAAAGCCTGCAATATGTAACATAATATACATAAGGCAAGCACAATAGTTAATTCGGTTAGTTTGTCGCGACAACTTACGGATTCTCGAACACCCAAATCATCGTAACCTTGATCTATATATGGTAAGGCGTCTACAACAACTTCGTATTTAAAGCTGCCAATTTCACTAGCCATTTTCGCGATCACTTTCCACTATTCCGATTCGCAATATCCGCAGAAAATAATATTTATTTGTTAGGAATTGTATCACATATAGGCAGAGTAGAATTGCACGCTCTATAAACTTTTCCTTTTTCTCGTTTGTTTTTACCCTAAATTCCGTACTAAATCGACAAATGGAAATGTTGCCAATCTTCCATGTTATGAGATACTTTTTTTGTGTAAGTAGAACTCTATGTTTTCATGTAGCGAAAACTCTGCTTCTTGCCGCCATATTGCTATAAATGCACTTATTCTGTCTTGTTTCCGTTCCTCTTGTTCTGCCTTTTTCTTTTCGGTCCGCTATTAGTTGAACGAGGACGTTTCTGCCATTGCAGAATTGCCTGAATTGTGGATTTTTCGTAGAAATAATTTTGAAAAATGGTAGGCAATAAAAAAAGGGTTACAAAGGACGTTATATTTTATGAATTGAGAGAAAAATTTAATTAAAAAATTGAGAAAATTTCTAATAGAAACACAATAAAAATTCTGATGTGTTACACGTGTTTTATCTTTTCTAAAACTTAATAAACATCTCATCTAATTGTAGAGTTTATCTAACGCTAGACCGCTGGTCTCCGTTTATTCGGAAAAAAATGAGCAAATAAAAGAGAAAAACATATGTTTGCCTGCTGTATTTAAAGCACCTATTCGTCCTGACGTGGTCAACGATATTCATCAGTTGATGCGTCGCAATAAACGCCAACCATATGCTGTTAGCGAACAAGCCGGTTTGTATAATATAAACGATATTTTTTATCTGTGCATAATAAAGAATTAGAGTAAATTAATTAAAGGTCATCAAACATCTGCCGAGTCTTGGGGTACTGGTCGCGCCGTTGCTCGTATACCCCGTGTTCGTGGTGGTGGTACTCATCGGTCTGGTCAGGGTGCTTTTGGTAACATGTGTCGTGGAGGTCGTATGTTCGCTCCGACCAAAACTTATCGACGCTGGCACCGCAAAATTAATGTAAATCAACGCCGATACGCACTGGTTTCAGCTATTGCCGCCTCTGGTGTACCAGCTTTAGTGCAGTCTAAGGGTCATATCATTGAGGGCGTATCCGAATTTCCATTAGTTGTGTCTGACGAAGTGCAGAAATTGCAGAAAACCAAGCAAGCTGTTGTGTTTCTTCGACGTATGAAAATTTGGGCTGACATTCAAAAGGTAATTTTTGGTGTTATGATGAATAGGTGTAAATTATACTGCTCGCAGTTGCAGCTATTGTTACAAAACCATGCGAATTAGGTTCAGTAAAAGATAGCGGCTGCATAAAGCCTCAATGGCAACTGCTATATAAAAGAATTTCGGTTGGCGTTCCGTTGTCGTATCGTATATTTCTACAACGGGGTAACTTAAAGTCACATTTTTGTACGCATTCATTATCGAAATCGGAATCGAATTCTTGTTTACATTATTTTAATTTATTTATTATTAATAGGTATACAAATCGCAACGCTTCCGTGCTGGTCGTGGTACTATGCGTGATCGGCGCCGTATTGCACGCCGTGGACCTTTGATCATTTACTTTAAAGATGAGGGCTTACGTCGTGCCTTCCGCAATATCCCTGGTATTGAAACAATGTGCGTAGACAAAATGAATTTGTTGAAATTGGCACCGGGCGGACATGTCGGCCGTTTTGTAATCTGGACAGAATCTGCTTTTGCTCGACTCAATGAGCTCTTTGGTACTTGGAAATCGCAATCGACCTTAAAGAAAGGTTACAATTTGCCTCAACCGAAAATGGCCAATACCGATTTGTCACGCTTCCTTAAATCGGAAGAAATACGTAAAGTTTTACGCGATCCCCGTAAAAAGGTATTCCGGCGCGTACGTCGTTTGAATCCATTGTCGAATGTGCGTCAACTTATCAAATTGAATCCATACGCGGAAGTTTTAAGACGTCGTGCCGCTTTGGCCGCTGAAAAACGTGCCATCGCCAAGACTATAACTAAAGCAAAGAAGCAAAACGTTGAATTGGCTAAGTCGCACTTTGCTGTAATTGCTACCAAGGCTGCTGCTAACCGGGCGAAAATGTTGAAAAAAGCCTTCGAAGAGCGCAAAAAAAGGAAGACCGTTCCTGTGACTCCCAAAAAGAAGTAAAGTGAAAAATGTACCCATTGGCTAATGACTTCAAGTAAAAAAAAATGTATGGAATACTTTTTTCTGCATAAGTGAAATATAAGATTATGGGTAAAATGATTTTTTTATTTTTTAAATAAACCTTAAAAGTGTTAACTTTTGTACATAGAACGAGAAGACTACTTAGGTTGAGCTCATTTGCGTAATGAATGGCACCTGAAAAACTTAGGAGCCTCGTGATTATACAGATAGTGAAGGTCAACGAACGAAATAAAACATTGTTAAACTGATAACCCAGACAAAAAAAAAAGTAAGCCGTTTCGAATTGGAAAGACGTCACTAAGCAAGCTCACAAAAATAAAAAAAATAAAACAACATTTATTGGAAGAAATTGTCCTCAATGCTTTAGGGCGAATCATTCTTGGCTCTTCGCACTGATTTGTCAGATGATACCTAGTTCATCTTGATTTCCAAAGTTACAAGAATAACAAATGAAAATCAGATATCATTATATTGGGATGTGCATATTGCATATTGGGATGGAGTACACTCTGTTAGACATACTCCACTTAAATTCTTAAAGTTATTAACATTAAAACAACGTCTTCAATGTGAGATAGAAATACTCAAACCATTCTAAATTGTCAGCAAAATATATAGAAAGAAAGACAACCGCATAATTTGTTGTAGTTGTTCTGAAGTTTGATAAGATTTTAAGAAAGTGGTTGAGTTCAGCTTAAAGCATATCTCTAGATGCCTGCCATCCCCGTTGCTGATAAATATCTGTTTCTAAAGGAGAAGTTATATCAGGCTTTCTCTAAAAAAATAGTGAACATAGTAATGAAGATCGACGGCGGGAGCAAGTCGTAAGATTCGAATAAATAGAAAAAATATGCGATTGCTTAATGCCTTCTACTGTGATTGGGAAGCTTTGTTATTGCGCGTAAATTTCTTATGAAGAGAGAACTCATGGCTACAGAAGCCTTTTGTACATACATAGTTCGCTCAACTCAAAACTCACACGCCATCACAATACATGGACCATTTGTTACCGTAGCCCCACTTAAGAAAAAATATTTATAAACAGTAATACACAGAGTATGTAATAATCATAATATAAAATTTTCCAGAAATTCTTAAGCGTCCAATTAGATCCGATTTTAAAATTGAGCACAAGGAAAGTGAAGAAGGAAGAATTTAAGATTACATTCTTTATTCTACACAAGTTCTTATAGTCTTCGAGCATTGGTCATTTAATTATCCGCATTTTATAATGTTACAAACACTTTTAGCATAGATTCCGAAATAACGAATATTGAGTTCAATCGAAGTTTTATTTCGTTTGTTTACATTACAATAATATTTTTGTTCAAAATATATAGGGAATTGTCCAAATTTAGAGTAAAAAATGTAAAACATCAAATTAAAATTTTCTCCCACTCTCTCTCTCTATACGATATCATATACAAAATTGTTATTGTGAGGCATTTTGCTCTCTTTCAGCGCCATTTACGTCGCTGAACGGGGTATGCTAGTTTATCGTATTTTTGGTAACACTTAACTACTAAATATGCCTAAATCAGCTAATGTAATGACCTTTTAATTGAAAGTAGTGGTATAGGAGTTCGGTGTGATGGAAAAGATTTGAAAAATAATTAGCTCGACAATACCGATTCGTCTTGTATACTATTCAGGGGCTCCGCGTTTAACACAGTTTCACTGATACAACGCTGTGCACATTGATTGGATTGATATCGATATATATACAAAATATCTAAGTTTTAATTATATTGTTGTATGCTATATCTTTGCTTAAATAAGAAAGTTTCGTAACCGAGGCAAATTTTATAAAAAAATTCCTTTACTTGCGTAGGTGGAAGATGTGCAGAAAATGAAATGAAGTTGTGTTTAATATATTTACTAGAGTTTTTCTCTCCTGTACCTAACATTTTTATTCGCTTATGTAGAAAATAATGTGAATAAGTTTTTAGAACGTACACATCGAATGTATAGGATATTTTCAACGAATAATTGCATTGACCGAGAAATTATGTTTACTTTGACATGCCTAATTTTCCTTCCATTTACATATTTTATTTGTTTACAGTTTGTTTACCTCGGGCCACATATGTTGCAAAAACCATTGTTCCTTTCTCATTCTTTCTGACTGATGCTCATCTACTCATGATCAAAATTGTTATTGCATTTTTGTTCTCATTTTTTACATCCTCGTATTAAATGTGAATGGGGAGCATTGTTTTTCAAATCAAATTTGCACACATTTACACTGACCTAATTGAAGAAGAAAGTAAAAGGGATAACAGTTCGCCGCTGCCTATGTTGTGTCTAGAAAGTGCGGCTGTGATTGAAAATTAATTAATAAACAAGTGTCGTTAATGTAATTGAAGCATTCAGTCTTGGTTGCTACTGCTGTGCAGAGGCGGGTTTGCAATAAAAGAAAAACGAAGAAAACATATAGAAATTCAATCAGCAATAAAAGTGTGTTAAAAAAAAATTTTTTTTAATGTCTATTTTTTTTTTTTTGTAACGTGAAAACAGAAAGTACCTAAAGAAATATAATACCATAAAATAGCGAAAAGTGACATATAACAAGAAAGAAGAGAATTTAGTTTAGAAATAATGCAAAATTTCGCATCAATCGTGTCTTACTGACATGTCATGACAGGCATTTCATATTTATACGATTTTAATATACATTTCAGAAATATTGAAATATTGCCCACCGCCTAATCAAATTGCAAGCAAAGCCTCGCGGACGTTAAAAAAAAAGCGGAAACAGAAACAAAAGGAAAAAGCGCTATTAATGCATGTGTAGGCATTTAATTGCTATTAAAATAAGTGTTTTTTTTTTTTTTTTTTTTTTGGGAATCGAGAACTAGCCAATTGTCAAAAATTTTCCTTTGTTTTTTTTTTGTTTTTTGTTTTTGTGTTAAAAGCGCAAATCAAAACAAAAACAATAACCTAAAAGACAAATAGTAAAAGCATTTATGAGAACAGGGTTCATTTTAAACTGCATAAATCAATTAGTCGACAAGAGAGTGTGTATCAAATGAACCGTTTTACAGTTGTGGGCATGCACAGACGAGTGTAAGTGCACTTGACAGACAAGAAAATTCTTGAATTAAAAATTGAAAAGTCGTACGATTTTTTCATGTGATTATTAACCAATTGAAATGAGTGAGAAAGAAGCGTAGAGTGAGAGTGGGAAAAATCATATGACGGCCGGTTTTTACTTTTTTTTTATTTATTTATTTATTTTTTTATATTTGCTGATGTAAATGGCAACAAAGATTTCATGATAACAACGAAAAGCGAAAACAACAATATACACAAGCTGCAAGCAAGCAGCTCATGGACATAGTAAATTAGCTAAAGTGGTTTTGCTACTAACCGGCATTAATTTAGTTTGGTTATCAATTGGATAATTTGACCTTAACCTTCTCAATAGTGCTCAATATAGCAGCACCCAAGCCATCAAGAGTAAATTCGAATCAAAACTCATTGGAAAATAGTATAAAGACACAAAATACATTCCGTATTGCTTTGCTAGCAATCATCCTCGTCATCCATCTATTACAGACATCATGTTAGCAACGTTGATGAGTTTTCTACAGGGACCCGTGGAGTTTTCTCTGCTGGGCTTTATTGAAGCGGCCTCTGTTGCGTTCATTCTCTATTACATATATGCGAAAACCAGGTAAATAAACCAAAACAAAAAAACTACGCCACTCTGTATATACGCATAGGATTTTAATTTACTATCGCTACTCAATTCATGTATCTTGATGATTATGTATATACGTTAGTATACTCCATATAGTAATTTTTAAGTATTAAGCAAACCAGCAGCAATAATATTTAACTTATATATTTAACGTATCTAACTTTACGTTCGTAACAGGGTCGTTTTTGATTTAATGGATTGATTGCTTTTTCTTTTTTTTTTTATATAAGAGTCCACTGCCCTCTATTCTTATTTCTTTCTTAGTTACGTATGTACGTGTTATGTATGTACAAAAATTTACATTCACATATACATTCACATCTATAGTGAATATTAATTTCTTTACACATGCACACAGTGTTTGTAGCATTAGAGTGTGTAGGCAAATATAGGAAGAAATTATAACTGGCTGACGTCGATTTCTGGTTACCTCAGATTGCTATTTCTATAAGACTCTATAAGGAATAAGAAATAATATGAAATAATGATGGAAAATGATAATGATAACAAGTCGATTTCGTTTTATTAAAATAAGTGAGCATAACTAATAAAGATGGATACCTGGGATAAGACAGAAACCGAAAAATCGAGATAATGTTTATTTTGTTTTCTTGTGAATAGTGAATGAGTGAATCATAATCATTGTAATTAAAACTAATAAATGCTATTCGAATTAAAGAAGAGCGAAAACCAAGTTTTTTTGCCTTGGATCGTATTTTTTTTTTGTTTTCATCGCAAGCTTGTATAGGAACGTGACAAGAGACGCAGGGAATTATGATAATTATATAATATATTTGATTATTTTTAATAATTATACATATGTACGCGTACATAAAAATACATAAAAATACATATATTTACCCGTACCGTCAAGGAAGAAGCTCCTGCCCTTACCAAAATCAAATCAAATATATGTATATATATATATATATATATATATATACGACTTGTTATTTTATAAATATTCGACCAAATAAATTAGCTGAAGACATTTTGCTACTTCTTGACAGAATTGTTTTACCCTTGCTATAGGATTTCTTTAAAGAGTTTTTGGGCACTAAACGTGGCCTAAGGTCTATTTTTTAAGTTAGCTGCATAGCGTTAAGACGGCATCATAATTCGCCAGGCAACATCTCTTAATTTTTGCTCTGTCATGGAAGACGACAAATGTAATCTTGTTGATTCTATTAATGAAATCCTCTTCATCCAATTAATTAAAGTTGACCGCGTTATCTCAATCAAGCTCTTTCTTCGCACATTATTGTCGTAAGTGACTCGCTCTCTTTATAATGCCCTATCAGTCTCGTTAAAAACAATTCGTTTTCCTTGCAAATTAGCGGACGGAATTCCAATCTATTAAATCGATCACAATTAATTCATGCGGTATTCCAAATAAGGATCTTATTTTTGTGTTCATTGTCATATGATAAAATGTATCATGGCGCTTGCCAAAGGTTGGGCAAAGGATGGGACCTAGTGGTTACGCTGCTATTCTCCAGTGGAAACAAACAACCTATTTGAAGGCTGCTAATTCGAATTAAGCATTTTCATCATTAACACACCGGACTTCTTCGACAAGCCTTAGAGTTAACACTTTTATTGGAGACTTATTACATAATATAACACAAACTGTTCAGGTCTTCGCCTCGTTTTTAAAACACAATTTTTTTCAATTAAATTAATAAATTCTACAATGCTTTTTTCTTAACTACCTTTGGGCTGTTGTGGCTTTCACATACGCTAGAGTGTCGCCTGATAGAGTTACTCTGGCTATACGCGATAGCCATTTGTTGGACAACACGCTACGAACTTTTTTTCTTGACTTATTCTACAAACATATATAAATCTGCATATACGTAGACGTAAGGTAAACAAATACATAATACACATATATTGTATTATTACGTATGTGTAATTTGTTGTCGTTATTACATATACGATATATTACCATATACATCATTTGAATAGTGTTTATTGATTGCAGTTACCATGATCTGATATATATATTATAAACGTACATGCAAAAAATATGTGAATGTATATGTATATTTCTTTAGTTTGATTGATATATCTATTGCACTTTAGCGATTTTGCGGGCTTGGCCGACTTTTTGAGTTAAATAGATCCGTTAGCAATATTTAAAAGCAAAAGCTAAGATTTCGAGGAAATCGAGGAAATTTGACATTAAAAATTAAGAATTTGTCAAAAATGTTATCAAGTAATGTGATATCCGTCGTCTACGTCTATGTAATCTTTTAAACGAATCTAACTGACCAAGATTGAAAGATAATGTATTTCGGATGTAAATGAAAAATAGAATCGTTACAAACGTTATTGCAAAATAAATTGCATAAACAAATTGTGCGCAATGTATAACGGTATGAAGCGCAACATAAGGAAATCTTTAATAGTTAACATGTAACGAGAATTTAAATTTCATAAGAAATTAATATGAATTCTTGCTCTGTTAACAGTAACAGTTAACGTTTTCCGTTTTTTGTTTGCATCTTTGCGTATATCCCAGTTCCGAGGGAAGTTTTGTTAAAGAATTTGCAAATGCCTAGAAGAGGAGAAGACTTCGAACACAATGTAAAGTACATAAATGCCTTACTTATCGAGTAACTTAATAAAATCAAAGGTAGAGGAAAGTGCGTTTTTATTATATGATTATATTTTAATTATGATTTATAATACATTGGAGCATCATAAGTTGACTTCGACGAAAAAAAATTATGATTTAATGGTCAAAAAAAAAAAGTTTTGACAATTGTAACTGTTCATGCTTATTATTAAACAAATTTATTTTTTGTTACTTTATTTAATTTTCTTTAGTTAATTATTTTCCAATTAAGCGGTTTTAGATTAATATTTAAAAAGTTCAGAAAATTAATCGATTCAGGAAGCGCAGCATTTATACATATATTTTTGAAATTCTCAATTGATTTATGCAATGTCTGCGATAAATATTTTTTTTTTTTTTTGATCGTAAAGAAAAGACGTCTTGCCTTCAGATTTGGCTAGCCTGCATGTTCGTATTGCGAATGGGCCAAATTGATTAAAACACACATCCTCAGCGATCCTGAACGATTTTAGCGAATTTTAGATTAACATTTTCCAGGTTAATCGAGTTTCCATTGCTATAGAACGTTTTCTATTGCGATCTATAGCGGCCATTACTTGTACACTTGTAAGCTAAGATTGAACATTGATTTCCTATTTTTGCGGGCGAACATAGATAATCAAGAGGGTATACTTCTCTCACTCGCTGTTTACTAAATAATCCTTGATGTTACAAACGAAGGCCCATAGTTTGTATTTCCCCTTACTTTCCCCTTATCACTCTGCTCACTTTCGCACTTTAACCGAAAGATTAACCTTAAGCTGAAATAGTGTCACAAAGTGTTCCCCAATGGCTTTTCTATATATTTTTAGTATAGTTATTACAAAATTTATAAATACATTAATATTAGTTAGTCAATAGAAAATCGTTTACTATTTACATTTTATCAAATTAATTTTATTGCGCGTCATATAATGATAGTAATTAAAGATCAAGTGAACATGTTAGTGAAAGTAAAAAAGAAATGCACTCCCCCTCTATGCGGAATTATGAGCAAACCTTTAGCTAGAGTGCAAAGACCAAAGACTACAATAGAAAACGAAAAGTGCATTGTAAACAATTCGTAGCAATAAATTACACATTTTAGATTAAATTTAGACTATTAGTCAATAAAAGTAATTGAAGTATTAAAACATTTCCATATTTCAAATTCTACACCGTATGCCAGTTGTGATAGAAGTGTATCAAGTTAAATAGACATGTGCAACACCATTAAGGATCTTCTTTATTATACCGATCGATTCCGAATCATTATCTGAATCGACATAAGCTTGTCCACCTGCAGGCTACAGTTGCTGAAATAGTTTGATGAAATTTGGTGCACTAACAGGCTTTTGACCCAAATGCGAGGCCTTTTGGCAGTGGATTCTGTCAGACCATATTCCAAACCCTTCTCCATATAACACATTAATTTGTAAAAGTTGTTTCAGCTGAGTATATCTCACGTTCTCCTGGCTGTTGCCTACAATCACACAAACTTATTACGTCCCTTAGTTACCAGCGATGCAACACAATTACAATTTGGCAGCAAAAAAAAAAATGTTGATATAAAACGATGACGATCTATGCGCAGGATATTAGGAGCGGTTTAGATCTCTCCCATATAAACATTCCTACGATAATTAAACCTTTGTGTGACAAAAATGTCTTATTTCTGTATCTGCTGCCGGAAAATATCAAGGCCCTAACAAGTCCATTCACTCTTAATTAGTATCAGATCCTAATTTAAGTATGGCCTTTTGCATAATGTCACTTCGTCGCAAGAATTAGGATGTCGGCTTCAAAATGCATGGAAATTCTTATAAGCTGTTTATTATTGAAAGCGAGCGCGATCACTCAAAGAACAAGCCCACACTACAACGTAAACTGAAAACGCTTGTATTCAGATTATCCCATAACGCTTGAAAGATGAAAAAAATTGATCACGCCCATTTAATGTTATAAAGCAAAAAAACACTTTATTGTTTCCGTGCCTCCTTTAAGAAAAAGCCGATGTTTGTAAAGGATTCGGACACGGCCGATTATAATTCTTTTGCTTATTAATATTTTATAATGAAAATTGACTCTTGATAGGAATGTGATACAAAAACTTACCATGCTAAATCTGATCCAAATAGTTCTATTTTTTGGAGTCCGCGCAACGGCTCTACGAAAATATGACAACATAATCCAATGCTTAGAAGTAGGTGAAGAATAACGAGATTCTTGACAAGAAACTCAAATCTGCTAAATTCGCAACGCGATAAGTTTTGGATTGATGGGTTGATAGCTCCGATAAATAAAATAACTTTACGTGAGTGCGCATACAAACGAAAAATTGAAGAATGCTATTAGGCGATGTGCCATAGTGTATTTAATGGTCTACCCAGACAACAATCTTCGTTTCTTTTTTTAAATATATTTGACCAGTTGTAAGCCTGGCATAGGAAAAGATAGAGGAAATGGAAAATATTTTTTATATACATACAACAATATCGCTTGTTGAAAAACGAAACTATAAAAATATATAGAGCTACTAATTGCTTGGACTATCGCGACGTTCAATACAAAGTATAGAAAGAAAAAAAATCAAGAACGCTCTGTTTTTTTATACATTTACTAGAGATAGTGGGCTCCAAGGTGGAAACAACCCCCTTTTGTTTAAATGTTTTCAAAATTGGCAATTCATTTTTATTTTGATTCCATTTATTATTATTGTTTTTTTTTTTTTTTTGTTTTTTTAATTATTTTCAGAACACTTGCCATCATCGCTGGCCTATTTCCAAATCTCAATTTGAATATCAATTATCGGTCGACATTGTTCGGATTACAAAAGGCACATAATAAACCTCTAATAACATCAACAGCAACAACAACAATAACTACAACCAAAAAGGTAAATATAACCTACATATGCATTACACTTATGCACATCTATCTATGTCTATGCAAATATTCAATTAATATGTGTTTCATTTCAATAATTTTTACTAAATATTATGAAATTGTCTCCTAAATGAAATCATGCATTTCAAACTCTCTTATCAACAAAGTGGATTTGTAGAGTCAAAAGGAAAAAAAAAATATGCATAAGCACGTGTTTTTTGTTTTTTGTTTTAATTTATTAATTATTTTAATCTCATCGTTTGCATATGTCGTTCTTACAAAAAATTTCAAAAGATTATTTTTTTCCTTCTTTTTTGTGTAGTGCGCATAAGATCGATCAATACAACGAAGACTTTTCCGATTACATATCTCCTTGTTACAGTTCCCATTTCTGACTACAAAGTTCTTTTCAAAAATGTTTACTTTTATATATTAGTCTTAGTAGTTTCATTTTATTGAGAACAGTTCAGCTTGTGGCCAAGAGATACAAAGAAGGATAGACGGACATGTTTACGTCGAGTCGAAATTTTGTTACTAACGAAGATGAGCACCTTATAAGGTCTCTATGATTTCGCTTTTATTGCTGCGAACGTTTTCAAAAAATGAATACACCCCGACCTTCTTGCGATTGATTTATATATGTACTTTGGTATTGAGAAGAGACGAAGTAGTGAACTTTATTACATTTTTATTAAGTAGTATTAGATGCTTAAGATATTTAAGCCTAATGTGAATATAATATTCTAATATGCTTTAAATGACATGAAGTAAATTCCTTTTTTAAGAGCGCTAATGAAAAAGCAATGGGCGAACAAAAGGTTCGCATCGTTTGAAAATCCCAAGTTATGCAGCACCAGAACACCCGTTTTTCCTCGCTTTGGAATTCAGATCCGTTCCGCTAACAGCTTTCGCCACCTAGATCTTTATCAGATATTTGACTAGTAGTGTTTGAAATACTTGTTAACAGTTTGTACAAAAGACAGTGTTACACCTGGACGATGTTTAACCACAAGATCCGTCAAGTCAGTATAAGTGATGATGAAAAGAAGCAAGAAAATTATATTCGTTTTAAATCAATAGCCAAGATTTCATTATCACTCCCAAGCATATGTTCAAAATGGCAAAGGGCTTTGTTGAGCACTAGACAAGCACTATCTTTCTATCAAAATTTTTGATTGCTTAATTTTTCAGGCCTTTTGGTATTTAATAGCAAAATAAATACTTGTAAATGTTTTTAATTAAAATGTTTCACGATTATTGTGAACATTACATAGACTAATTCAGTACGAAGGTTTAGTTTTTAATCGCAATTCTATTGGATTTGTGACCACAGCAATAGTAGCAAAAGCATAGGAATATATACAAAATCTATACAAATACCTAACCAATTCAAAGGAAGTAGACGGTTTTGCAAAAACTCGCAAAATACATTAGTAATCCATCGAATTTATAATAATGTGTAACGCCGCAAAGAGGCGTTGTACATTGCTTTTGGTAACATTAGTTTTACCCGAGCAAATAAATACCTTCGATTATATCCTCCAGTATTTCTTCATTAGGGATCACAAAAATAATCCAACACCGATTAGATTCCTAAGATGCTCTGCACTTGCATGAATTTTTTTACCATTGTAGGCGTTATTGGAAAGGTCATTTGCCATTCTACAGAAAATTTTAAATCGAATAAATCACGTTTTTTAATAAACGTTGCTTGTGTTGCGACAAAAAAGCATTTAAATGATCTGAACTGATCATTTTTAAAAGACGAATTGATTATTTTTAACTATTATTATACCACATTTATGTTAATAAAGTATATGTACAGGTTGTAGAATATCATGTGTGTACACCATAACTTCTCCAACGATAAATCTAATAAATTCTTTCTTTATCAGTTAAAAATAGTAAGTAATACGCAATATTCAATAGTTGCAGTTTAGTGGCCTTAACCTATTAATTATTTACATACATTACTTTTAAAATTTTAATTAATTGAATAATATTTGCATTCTTAAAAATATTGAGCCCTCAGAGGAAGCCCAAAAATACTCTTGATACAAAATAACGTTAACGTATTATCGGGGGCAATTAGACTACCCACACTTGCAGCGATACTTTGAAGAATTTATATCAGCAGTGTTGCCAAAGAAAAAACCAACTCTATCCTTACTGGTGCTGGGATTTTTTTTTTATATTATGTGTGAACTTAATTTTTAACACCACATTTAATTATCGTTTAAGTCTTTTTATGCCTTGGTAACCGGTTTTCTGATTGCAAGAACTTGTACAATTAGCTTCTCTGGCGTATTTATTGCTGGCAATACCCTGATTGTTTATTTTTTTTAGTGCGGAAATTTTATACGCTTGCTTCCTTTTTTTTCAAGTGAATTAATTTTTGCAAATTTTTCTAATTGAGTTTTAGCCCAGAGAAAAGTAAGACTTAGTATTTTTTGAGTGTAAAAACAAATTAAGATTGGAAGCTTTTTTTAATAGGTGGAAGGTGGAAAAATAACTCTTTAACGAATAACAACTCAATGGAAGAAAAAATTATACCAACTCGTGGTTGGTTTGAGGTGTGTGCATATACGGCAGCCTATTAAGTAATGTAACGGCGCAAAATCTGCTGTCACATTAGATTGAGTTTTTGCCTATGCATATACATCGTATATAACGGTTTTTGCAGTGATGTAACAAAAAATTATGTTTTCGTTGTAGGAACCTAAGCGCGAGAATTCCTTAGCGCATGGCATCGGCACACAAAACATGTTAGAATTGACACCGCATGCCGGTCGTAAACCTTTCCATTCTCTTAAAGATTGGGGCGTTTATTTTCCCTATGTGGCTCAATCTTTCCGAAGTAAAAAGTTTGATTATCCTCAAGTAAGTTTGTATACTGTCCATAGTAGCTTAATTAAATAGTTTTATTTTCATGGTTGTTCATTTTACTATTTGTTCTTTAGGTCACATCTTTAGTGCAGAAAGATCCGGTATTGCAAAGAGCCATTAAACAGGCTGCTGAACAAATTTTACGCGAACAAGAGCAACAAAGTGAAGAAACAACTGGTCATGAAGATCTTAATTTCAATGAGCGGCAAAACAGCTATCGGCCGCATCGCCATAACGATTACCAACATATACTTCAGCGTCAGGAACGTAGAGCTATAAAAATTTTAAAGGAAATGCGTTCAACTTTAAACAATTTTTTATTGGCCTTTACTTCATGGTTGTTGTATAAATTGCTGCCTTGTTTTTTAACGGGAGTCGTAACTCACACTCAACAAATTGAAATGTTAAAAACTGCTTCCGAAAAGGCCCCTGGCATACCTCTCATTTTTTTACCTTTACATCGTAGCCACTTGGATTACATTTTGGTTACATTTATACTAACGAATAATGATATACGTAGCCCTCTTGTTGCCGCAGGTAACAATTTACAGATACCAGTATTCGGAGAAATTCTTAGAGGGTTGGGTGCTTTTTTCATCAAGCGTAAGATTGATCCAATAGTGGGTAAAAAAGATATTATATATCGTGCCGTACTGCATTTATATTTGCAACACGCTCTCAAGATGGGGCACAACGTCGAATTTTTCATAGAAGGCGGTCGCACGCGGACCGGCAAACCCTGCATGCCTAAAGGTGGCATTTTGTCGGTGATTGTGAATGCCTTTATGGATCGCAGTATACCGGATGCATTGTTGGTGCCAGTTTCAGTTAATTACGAGCGTCTAGTGGACGGAAATTTTGTGCGTGAACAAAAGGGTGAAAAAAAAATACCAGAATCATTTGGCAAAGCTATGTCAGGTATATGGAAAGTAAGTTCCCCTTACTTGATTGCTTCAAACAGTTTTACTGACGTACATTTTTTAGGCTTTGAATTCAAAATACGGTCTGATGCGCATAGATTTTAATGAGCCCTATTCCATTAAAGAATTAGTACAATCTTACAATAAAATTGCTAAAGAGGATGGCTCGATGAAGATTTACAAACCATCGGCAAGAACATTGCAACATAATCAGTCTACCTCCTCTTTGTACGGCACAGACGTGGTGTGTGAAGAACATCGTAGCCTCATTGAAAGTATATCGCGCCAGGTAGTCTACGACTGCGCCGCTGCCACGTCAATAATGTCGACAAATGCGTTAGCGTTTTTGCTATTGACGCGTTATCGCAATGGTGCCACAGACAAAGAATTGGCCAAAGCTTTAGATGATTTGCGTCAGCGTTTACAGGGAAAAAAAGATTTAGGTTTCTCGGGGGAATCTATACATATCATCAACTATGCAACCGATTTATTGGGCGAGAAATTGGTCGAACGTCGTTACGATAGTAACAATCAACTTTTAATATATGTAGCAAATGGTATTGAGAGCTGGATTGAGTTAGCTTATTATTCGAACACATTGACACCTCATTTCGCGTTGCAATCGATTGTATTGACCACATTTCATAATTTATTACTGAAGCAGGTTAACATGCCTGAAGAACCGGGTATATGTCGTAAAAAACTTATAGAAGCCGCTATAGAAAATTGTGAAGTATATCGTTACGAATATATATTATACAAACCTACCCAAACATTGGTACAGGTGTTGGAGTCAGTAATCGATGAATTAATAATGCAAGGAATAATAAAAACAGAGCAGGTAAGAAAAAGATGTCATCTTGTATTTAGTAAAGTAAACGCGGAATGTGGATGTAGCTATATTCTTTTTGTTTATACGCCATATTAGCGATGAAAGAACAAGGACATTGGTTTTACATACAAAATTTTGTTATCCATCTGTGTCGAAAGAACAGCACTTCCATCTGTTGCAGGCTTCTTGAAGACTGTCACCAGGCAGGAGTGAAGAACAAAAAGAAACTGTTAATATATTCCTCTACGCGAGTTATCAAAGAATATGTACATATACACTTTCTGGGGTATACGCATAGTGTTTTTGTTTATTACTTTTATTAATCTTCTGGCGGTAGGCTTTTTGTCAGAGAATATTTGAGAACGTCGGAGCGTTGCCTATGTGTTGCCCACATGTTGGCTACTTTGCATTGTATTTTGCTTAGACGGCTTCCTCTTTTTTTTTTTGCATTTTTTTTTTTTTAATGATGCATCTCTTCTTTAATGTCAAAGCGAATTAATTTAACAAAATTAAGCCTTTTAGCCGAGCAGAGCTAATTAATAACAACTCCAAACGACTTCGCTTAATGCAGTTCTTGACTTGCCTTCATCATAAAATAAACAAATGTTTACTTTGTCAACGAACAAAGCTTATCTTACAAGGAGGTATTCAAAAAATAGATCCATTTTATCCTTATACGATAAGAGTTTAAAATAGTAATCCGCCCCATTCAAATTTTCTAAATACACTTGTACGCAAAAATACTAATTTTCCCTAATTTTTATCGAATAGCATCAAAAATGGAATATATTTTTGAACATAAGGACTTCTTAAAAATTCTTATAAGAAGCGTTAGTAAATATCCTTTCGGATCCACTCCTTTTTAATTAGCGTTCCACTATAAATCGAAACATCTTTTCAGTTTATTAAACTGTATTAAAATTTATGGAAACCTGTGACCTGTCGTAAGGAAGGCAAGCAGACAGACCGATAGGGATTCATAAACTGTTTTAATAGTCGATTTTGATTGGTTTAATAAAAGATGGGCCTTGTTTTCGAGTTCGGCTTGATATTGAATATATTTGCGTAAATTTGATCTAAAAAATAATTTAAAGGGATGGAGAGATAACTAGGGGACTATTTTTAAGCTAAATGTGATTTCTTCATTGCAACCTTATCCGTTCTTCTACTCCTGTTCTCAGACCGAAAACGAACCCGAAAGCGTAATGGAAAGTCGTCGCATAGCTCGCGGCTTGGCTGCTTATTTGGGTGAAGACAATGAGTATGACGATATGTCTGACGATGGCCATGACTTCCTCGATGTCGAACAACCACAGAAACCAGACCTCTTCCTCATTTCGGATACCAAAGTACAACAAAAAGCTCTTTGTGAAGTCTTGGCACCATATGGCCATGCCTATCTATGTGTAGCTCAATCGCTCTATAAACTTTACCAAAATTCTATGCTGGAATCAGAATTCATAAAACTAGTAGTTAAAGAATTAAATACAAGAGTTAAAACGCGACAATGCCCTTATGGTAAGTCAATAAAAATTGAATACAGTTTTTGACTTAAGGTATATTATCTCTCCTTCTTTTTTTGTTTTTTTTTAAATAACATTTTTTTAAAGCTGAAAGCATATCAACAGATTCGGTAAAAAATTGCCTAAAAGTTTTGGAAAAATGGTCTGTGATTGAGATTAGCAATCAGAGTGGCTTACGTTTGCTGGCATTGGGTACACTGTATGAAACGTGCCGCGGTTCTTTAAAGAACATTGTACAACGCATATCCGACATAGTGCCCTATTACGCTAATAATTATTTTTAAGTTACTCTTACATTTACAAAGTGAAACACGCACCAAAATATTTGCTCCAATCTCCAAAGTGTGCTAAATTTTCATTTTTAAGTCATGTAATTCAATATACCAATCAATATTCATTCATACTCATCATCTTTTTCTCTTAAAAATATACCAAAGCCATAATAATAAATAACTTGGTCCTACAGAGACTACATATTTATAAAGAGTCCAAAATGAAATTAATATCAACAGATGACTGAATTATTAAGGGATTTTTTTTTTAGATTTATGTGTAATTTAAGAAGAATATAAAAATAAATTTTAGTTACTCCGTTGCTAGAATAAAAAAAATATTTGTTTTGTTAAATCAAAAACAAATTCCTTTTACAAGTAAAAATACCCTTTTCGAATATAAATAAATTTATTTGAAAATGAAAAAGTGCAACAAATTTTCTAGAAAATTAGAAAATATTTTATTTTACTTTGGAATTATTGTCTTTTTAGTCGACTACCACAAGTTTATCTTTACCATTTCGAAATTTTAAAAATTTTGGCAGTTAGAACGAAACTCACAAAATTTATCAGAGAAAAAAAAAAAAAAAAAAAAGATTCAGAAGAGAAACTTGTAACTTGAGTAAAATTAATTCCATGGATTGGTTGCACAAGACATTGTTCGGCCAATCAACGAAAAAGTCCGAAAATAATGAGGTTGTGCAAACGTCCGGTTGTGGGGGTAAAATTGACTGCACCGTCAAAAAAGATAAATCAAAAGATTGTTCAACAAGCTGCAAAGGCAAAAAACCGCCGGACAATGAAAGCCGACGAAGAAGTCCATGTGATCCGACGGGATTTGAGGGGACAGCAAAGAAATGCTGAAGCTTGTCCGGGACGAAGGAGGGATCACTACATGTGCAATTTAATTGTTCAGAACAATTACAAAGAAAAAAAATAAGCGGACACAACAAACAACTGATGGGATGAAAGAATCAAGACACGTAAGCAAAAATTGTTCGTTAAGTGTTTTCTGGTATATGCGATCTTTCGTAATGATTTTAAAAAAAATGAAAAAAAAAGACTATTTTTAATACATTTTCTTTTTTTGTATATACAAATTTCGATGACATAGGGAAGAAAAGCAACACTTAAGTTTTGCGAAATGGTAAACGCCGGATGCCTTCACTCAAAGAGAAGGGTGCTCGCGCAACGAACAGTAAGTTATGTTGGTGTTCAAAGTCGGTGTGCACATCCTATTGCAAAATTGCTTTAACTATTTCGAGTTGACATCTTAAACCTTATTGCCTTTTCAATAGGTACGCGATAACGTCACGAACTCAATGGTCGGAAAGTGAAAAAAAGAAAACAACGAATAGCGTATTGTTGCCCCTACATATCAACACCATTTTTAGTTTAAAAAATTATTCAGTGAAAATTGACGGAAAATATAAATTTTTAGTATAATAAAAATATTTAAAAAAAAGTTTATTATGGGTTATTTCAAAAATTTCTCTAAATTTGATTTGAATCACATATTCACATTTATATAATGAGGGTTAAAACTAATATTAAATAATGATATCAATGAATTGTTACTTGAAGCGAAAATGAAATTTTCATCAAGTTACTTAATTGATCTTTCCCCGCATTAGCGAGTTATAGCGTGTGTACATATATCAAAGACAAAAATAAATTAAAAAAATCATAAATACACAAAATCCATTAGTTAAACGTAAACATCGAATTAAAAAACTGCTCACATAGCTCAAAAATATAGTCTATATAAACAGGATAACGAATATAAATTATTGAAAAGAAACCATTCAAATATATATTCTCGAAAGGATAATTTTAAAAAAAGTCAAGAAAAAAATGAGAAAACGCCCGTGTCTTAAATTAAATACGATATGTCGACATTTTTCTGGAAATGTTTACACAGTGTCACTAATATAATGTTTTCTCGTTTGCAGGAATCGTTTGTTTGCCTTGATCGTTGTTCTCATTATCAAATTCAGTTTTCAAATTCTTGGCAGACATTTTCAAGTTATTGCTTGAAGCCGATTTACGGGAAAAATTATTCAGTGAAAATTGACGGAAAATATAAATTTTTAGTATAATAAAAATATTAAAAAAAAAATTTATTATGGGTTATTTCAAAAATTTCTCTAAATTTGATTTGAATCACATATTCACATCTATATAATGAGGGTTAAAACTAATATTAAATAATCAATGATATCAATGAATTGTTACTTGAAGCGAAAATGCAATTTTCATCGACATCAAGTTACTTAATTGATCTTTCCCCGCATTAGCGAGTTATAGCGTGTGTACATATATCAAAGACAAAAATAAATTAAAAAAATCATAAATACATAAAATCCATTAATTAAACGTAAACATCGAACTGCTAACATAGCTCAAAAATATAGTCTATATAAACAGGATAACGAATATAAATTATTGAAAAGAAACCATTCAAATATATATTCTCGAAAGGATAATTTTAAAAAAAGTCAAGAAAAAAATGAGAAAACGCCCGTGTCTTAAATTGAATACGATATGTTGACATTTTTCTGGAAATGCTTACACAGTGTCACTAATATAATGTTTTCTCGTTTGCAGGAATCGTTTGTTTGCCTTGATCGTTGTTCTCATTATCGAATTCAGTTTTCAAATTCTTAGCAGACATTTTCAAGTTATTGCTGGAAGCCGATTTACGGGAAAGTTTCCGCGCTGCCTTTACTTTAGCTTTCGCTTTACTTTTGACGCGGACGCTACTAGTTGCTGTTTCCTGTTTAGAATACAAATTTATTAAAACATATTTGAAATTTAACGTTACGCAACACGTACTATCACATCAATGTCGGCGATTTCTTTGGGTTTAGCGCCAATTTGGCGAGAACAATTTTTCGAGCCGCAAAGGCAAATTTTCTTCTTATTACTCATTAAGTCATCCCAGTGATAATTAAAAGTTAACTCTGTATCCTAAATGGACAAGGGAAAATAGCATATGGTTGACTTTTCTAGAGAGTATTATTTTTAAACTTACTTTTTGTATGTCTTTAATAGCGAATAGACCGATACGAACCAGAGAATTCACGACCCATTTCTGTGTCTCGCAATTAGGATCGCAAGAGTGATTCATGAATCGGGCTAAATTGCCCTTCGGTTCCGCATCAATAATATAATCTTTCTCCACCGAAAGGAAATAAAAATTTTCATCTCGATCTTTTGTTTTCTGTAGTAATCTTGCCTTAAATTCGTCGTCATTGATAACTTCGCCCACGTATTCAATTACGAAAGCACCAGCTGGTATAAATTCGCGACATACTAAACCAAAGCCGCGATCTTTCATATGAACAACATCTAAACGCGGTGATATGCGAGACTCGAACATTTGATTTTGACAACGTTCTTTAGCCGGACATATTTTCGGATTACATTCGTTGAACAAAACGCGATTCAAGCAATTTGAGTAAGGACCGCATGGATTCTGATCGCTTGCCTTGCAATTACACTTGCTGACTTTTTCAATATCTATTTGTAATTTCACCGGCGACACAGCGCGATTGGTTTTGATTCGGACAAAGGGTTGTGGATGCAATTTTTCTTTATTTACAAGTCTTAATTGCGATTTCTTCATACTAATTATTTCATAAATGCGTTTGGCTTCTTCCACCCCCTTAGTATAGCGCGCATCCAAAGCTGCAAATGCAGTAAATCAATAAATTACAATTCATTTTAATGTAAGCATATATATTACATGATTTTGTTCTCGGTGGCCTAGAACAATCGCCTTCAACATATAAGTAAACACGTCGTCTGGATATCCAACCATGATCATTAGTACCAAAGAAACGCACCACAAAATCTGATTCACTATGGGGCATTTTTGCAATATTCTGAGGCACTTGAGGCGGTGGTAGTATAATGGCTGGCCACCATCGGAAATTATTGAACTTTGCCCAAACGATTTCGCCATAGAGTGGCTTACGACCGGACTCACATTCGTCACAAATATACACCGCGTTGTTATCTATTGGTCTTTCTAAGCATCGAACATGTACGGCGACTGGACATGTTTCGCAACAAACTAACTGGCCGCCTTCAACACATATGAAGCACCAATTTACGTTAATGGTCATGTCCGACTTGGAATTTGTGTGAGACGGGCATATAATGTATGCCGCACTTAATATTTGGCTGCCTGCTGGTATGCAACTTGAATAGCAGTGATAGCTGGCAGGGCATTTTACACATTTCACAATTTTGGCATTACTCAGCTGTTGAAATTTCTCTTTTGGGTTATCTGACACACACGTGTGACAAACATGAGATGGACAACGAAAAGATTCGATGTGTTTCTTGGAGTAAGTACGTTTGGCATGAGGCCAATGCTTGCAACACGACGGATGGAAGGCTCGTTCACAATTTTGCATAGAACAAGTGATTAAAGGATCATCATCTCGTTGAGATTTCGAACTGTTACATATTAGGCACTTTAAAGGCTCGTTGTTAGAGCACTCTTGACAAATAAGTTCGCTTTTAGAGTCTTCTTTTACTAGATTGGAGTTATTATGTGTTATCGCTTCTGCTGATATTGTGTTTAGAACTTCAGTTTCAGTATCGTTACTTTGATTATATACATTAGCTGGAATTTCGTTAGGCAAACACTCCTTATGTAGCCACTGTCGACATTCTTTTGAACATTTTTTCAGGTTTTTGCCCGGTTTAAAGCAATATCGGCAAACCGGTTCTCGAGAGAGGCCTCTGAATAAATATTTACTGTCCAAGTCGAATATATCATTAATAACCTCTTCTATTGGCCGATGAATAGTTTTTCTAACGACCTTTCGTGATCCAAAAGAATCACGTTGTAATGCCGGCGATGCATTGGCAAATAAATCCGGACTTTGGCCTATTGAAAGAGTTTTTTGTACCATTAAATTTTTTAAACGATTTGATAAACGTTTTTTTGTTACGCCGTCATCTCTTTGACGGAAGCTTTCTGCCAAAGTGGAGTCCAAAATACTTTGATTGCCATTGTTTAGTAAGTGATGCCCATGCCTCGCACGGTTTACTTCTCTAAGTGCATAAATATTACGCGCTGCTGCAAAAACACTTCTATCCAATGCCTCATCATCATCTTTGGTGTTCTCCAACACAAACTCTCTTAAGCAGCCATAAAGTTTGAAAAGATCGTCACCATTATTCTTAACAGAATTTACCGTATAGTGGGTTGAAATTGTGTATTCTCCATCAATGGTTGCCGCGCCAACGCTAAGCCTTGGCCGTTTGACTTTATTGGGTTTGTGCGGAGAATATGCTGGACTCAATGGAGAACTTGAACGGTCCCGCTTTTGCGCGATCGATGAAAAATTATGTAATAGTCGATTGCTGAAATTTTCAGCAAAACCATTAACGTTAATAGCGTCATTCGAGCCATACAGGCTACCGGTATCCGTAGTAGATTCCGCTCTGTACACATGCATTGATTTCCGCCTTTGTTTTTCCAATTTTTGAAATAGTCTGTAATATTAAATACCGTGTGAATTAAAGATTTCCATAAGGCAATCTGCGCATTTACTTACTTTGATTCCTCGAAAATTTCATGAAATTTCTTTAGTCTGTCAGAATGCGGTAACTCCGTGACTAAGCATGCTTCATTTATTGCCTGACGCCAGAGAGATTCTTTTCGTTTTGTCGGCAAGAAGGCTTTCAAATGCATTCCTTTGTTTCCAAATTTCTCTTTGACATCCTCCACGTGTTCCATATAATTTTCCAGGCTCACGAATGGGATAAGATTTTCCCGTTTTACCCAGTTGCGACGACCATTATCAGCAAAGAATCTTACATGAATCAGAGTAACTGACCTGCTTACATCGTCCTTCGTAAGGCTATCACTGTCAGGATCGGAGCAAGCCATACATGGCCAAAAGCAAAACTTGTATATCTGGCCCCAAAATACGTCACCGACGTCAACTGTCAACCAAGAACCTTCGTTTGCGATGGAAGAACCTTTGGCGCTATCAGTGCTAAACGCAGAGGGCGATTTTGCCAAAGGGATGTCTCCCGCCACCTCCTCGTTATGACTTTCGCTTTGAATATCACTGAATTTTGCCATTGAAAGTCCTCCGTATTCTTCCAGTGCATCTATAGATGCCTTGCTGAAATCTAAAGTTTTCTTTGAATATAATTTTTTCTCTTCTTCTTCTTCTCCTTCAAGGCCTTGTGGACTGCTCCCCCTCATTACAATATGATTATTTTTTTCCGTTTGGTTACTTTCTGATTGGTGTTCTTCAGTCCAATTGTCCTTTTCTTTCATATCGTTTGGTGTAGTTAAAGCCTCAACTAATGAACCATTCTTTTTCAGTAGTTTGTCAATTGGGCTTATAAATTTTTTTCTCTGCTTTGCAATCTTTGGACTGCTTTCATTCTCTTGCTCTTTTCTGGGCGTTCGACGTACAAATCCAAACATCGAATTGGATGCAATAAATTTAGCGGACATATCGTCGGATCTGTTTAATTTTGAAATATTACTAGGACTGGTGGTGAAAGTATTCATAGATCGTCTTTCCCGGCCACGTTTTGGGGCACCAACATTGTGATCAAACTTATGAGCGCTTTTAATACCAATATATCTGGGATTCAAATACGATTTTATTTTCCGTAGAGGATTCTTTTTTCCTATACAAGATAAAAATAGAGAAGAAAAATAATGAATTTCTGACAGCTTACTTGCTTACTTGGAATAGAAGATGATTTCCTTTAATACAAACTATGTGAACTACGTTTTTCTCCTATGGAGAAATTATTATCTATAGTGAACTCGCACACAATTCACAATTTTCTGAATTTGAGCTTTAAGTTTCAATTTTCTTATTGTCAACTATTAGTGAAGCGTTTATTAGGGAAACAAACCTTTCAATGTATTTGGATCTTTTGAGACGAATTTTCACTATACAACTATTTCTTCTTCAGTCAGTTTAAATTTTCATATCGGCATTTACACCAAAATACTTTACCTTCACTGGTTAGCATAACTGCCACAGATCTTGCACGAACAACTTCAATAAAGGTTATGAACGATTTAAGAATATAACATCTAATATTCTCCTAATTTTCTTGTAAAAAAAAACTGTTGCTGCCGCATTTGTAGCTTTCCGGCGCCAAAAATTTTTTTAGTGTTGCCAAACTATTAAAAAACAGAAACGAATTGTGACAGAAATTATTTCATGTTTCTGCATCTAAAAATTGCTAAACATTATACCAACACAAATCTTAAGTTTAGAAGTTTTATTCTTTGAGTCCGATCATCTATCTTAAAGTATAATATTATCCAATATGGTTTTCTTGATAAAAACAAACAAAAATCCGTTTCAACGAATTACTAAAAAAACGCTCTTTTTAATTTTTAGCGATTTTTTGTAAAATATTCAACAGCTGTGCTTTATTTCGCTTAATTGTCTACATTCACGTGCAGTTGTGTTTGGCATTATATTTTTTTTTTACAGAAAGAGGAAAAAGAAGGAATTTATGCGATGGACACTCAATTCGTTGAAAAAATTGTTCATGAAGTTAAATCTCAAGGAGTATTCGATGAATTTCGGAAGGATTCGATGGCGGATGTAGACACAAAGCCAGCGTACCAAAATTTAAGGAAAAGAGTGGAGGATTCAGTTAAGAAATTTTTAGCTGAACAAAAATGGCAGCCAGAGATTAATAAAAATCAATTGCGTGAAAAATTGAGACGTCACATTGCCGAGTAAGTTGATTGAAAGTAAAGAAAAGAAGTTTAAATAATAATTCATTATACTTAGGTCCGGTTTCTTAGATGTAGGGGTGGAGCGTATCGTAGATCAGGTGGTTAATCCGAAAATTGGCAGTATCTTTCAGCCTCGTATAGAAGAGATTGCTTATAAATATTTAGGTATACCACCTAAAAAATATGAACCGCCGCCTCCGCCTCTAATGCATCCTTTGCCACCATTACCAATGGGTGGACAACCATTGAAAGTGCAAACATCAGACCTCTTGCCGAATGATTTGGAACAAGTCAGCCCCGATTCGGATAAAGCTACTGTGAAATCTGAAGGGCAAGGTGAGGGTGAATGCGATATGGAAATTGAGAACGATAATAGAACTCAAGATGATGATGACGAGTCCCCTCCCTTTGAACCTTTGGGAAATGAAGAAAAATTGATCACTTCTCTGAAAAGAGAAAAAGAGTTTGATATTAAAACAGAAATTAAAGAAGAAGCGGAAATAAAACAGAGTCAACAAATCAAAGAAAATGTTCAGGATATAGCACTTCCTGCAAAGGCTAACCAAAGACTGGTAACGTGTGCGCAAGAGAATGAAATTATAGACACCGACAGAGAGACCAGCCAATCATTGGAAGCGAAGGTTTCGCAAATTTCGCAATTATCTAGTGTTTCGAACGATAGCTTTTCAGAGGCATCAAAAGTCGTCATAGAAGGCAGTCACAGTCAAGAAGAAGCGGTGGCAGCTAATATTTCGGAAGAAGCTCAAATGCCAAAATTTAATGAAAATTCTAGTGAGACTTTTGTTTCCGCAGAAATATCAAAGGGGAAAGAATTTCAACTTCATTTCGACATAAAGAAAGACGAGATCAAATTCGAGGGCACTGAACGTAACATTAATACCTTGAATAGACAAAACTCCCCCTCACCTTTAAAGGGAGGAGAGTCAAAGGAAACAGCTCAAGAAGAGAACGATAAAATTCAACAAAGCAAGTCGGCCTTCAAATTCGTGGCCTACAATAGCAGCAATAGCAATGTTGAACAACCGGCTGCCTCCAGTACTCAGAAGAGTGTAGATTCTTTTGCAGATGATACTACGTCGTCGGCGCCGCTGGTTATAGCGTCTGACGCTGAAGTAGGATTCAAAGATAAGGAAATTATTGTGGAACATAAATCATCGCCCAAAACCGCCAAGGAACAGATGTCTTGCAATACGTCTACAACTACAACTACAGAAATTCAAAATACCATGACATCGCCCGTAATTAACCATGTAGGTGATAAGGAGTATTTTAGCACTAAATATTCCTCATCGTTGTCATCAAAGTATAAAAAACATGCTAAAGAACATCGTCGTTCGCATGACAAAGAGAGAGATCATCGCCATTCTCATTCCAGTAAAGATAGTAAAGATGAGAGGAGTAAAGACAGATATCATCATCGCAGTAGCAGCAGTGGCAGTAGTGGTCACAATAAACACAGCTCTTCGAAAACAAAGCATTCATCCTCCTCAGCTACACGCAAAGATAGTTCAAAAAATTCAAAGCACTCGTCGTCCTTATCAACAGAGAAGGATAAGCAACGATATCATCAATATAAAGAGAGTTCTTGTTCTTCAACGACTTCATCTAAGCGAAGTGAAAGAAAAGACGATCACAGTGAGGTTAAAACTAAGCTAATAAAACGTAAATCAACCGATTCAAATGATGACAATGATAAATCTTCAGGAACATATGGAACCCCTTCGGTACCATCGAAGCCAAGTAACCAGGCTACATCCTCATCTGGGAAGTCAAAACCTAGGTCAAATAGCGACACGAAAAAGACTAGCACAACAAAAACGAATGGTAGTGAAATTAGATAACATTAAAATAATTTCCTCATATATTTTTTTTGTTTTTGGTTTTAGCGAAAACTTCCGCTTTAAGCGAGCCCGAACTGCGTCACGAACACCAAAACAAAGTTGTGATATTAAATGACATTTTGGAAAATCCTCAAACAAATTTTATAGACTTAGATGTACGAACATCTTCAGAGGCCGGCGTCCATGTAACAGTATCTACAAAAAAGGCCGAAATCGTTACATCTCAGTCTTTCAAGTCTTCCGTTCAAGTCTCATCTGAAAAAGACAATGAGATTAATGAAAAGTTTTCTTCAGATTTATTTTTCTTTGAAGATCGGCTTCAACAATTTAATGAACGCCTTAAATTATTAGACGTTGTAATAGACTCGTATCGTAGATCTATAAATAATTTCCGGTTTGATCCTGCTGAACGCGAATATAGTGAACGATTTTTTTTATCCCATGATGACGAATTACATAACAATAATAATCGTTATCTGATCAAAAAAGTAGGACAAAATTATTCCACCATTCATGTAGACAATACGGCATTACAACAACAACTTGAAACAACACCGTGTAAACGTTTTAAGCTAAATGAGGTGGACAAATGCACGGTTACCGCTAAGACGTCACCAATTTCCTCAGATAGTGGCAGTATTAATTCGAAAGAAAATGAAATTGTCGACAAGAACAAAACCGGTAAGTCCTTAAAATCTTTTAAACAAATCAAAGAATAATCAATTTATTCAAATTTTCTTTTTTCAAAATTGATTTTGACATTTATTGCTTTTTTCCTTATTATTTACTTATTGCTTTATTTTTACTTATTTTATTTTTCATTTAAGTATTTTATTTTCATTCCTTGTGAAAGAGATTGAAGTACATTAGTTTTCCGTATACAATACTTACAAATCTGGACTCATTAGTACATAGTACATAGTTACGGATTCAAGAAACTTAAGATAACAGAAATAACAGAATGCAAATTAAAGAAAGTAAATTTTTATTTATATTTGTATACAGTAAATCTGTTAGTATTGGAAATGCGCCCGACGATTCCCTGCAAACACCCACTTCACGCCGAAAGTACGCCAATAGATCTAATTTCACATATTTTCGTTATTTAAGATATAGATATATATAGTGATTGATAATATTTTTCTTGTATTGCCGTTACTCTTATTTTTCTACATTGGAAAGCGACACTTGCCGAGCATACGATTACGTACGATTTTTTGACAATTATTATTTATCACAAATGTTTATTCATTAATATTTTGTCGAGGAAGTGGATTTTCAGGTATATAACATCGGTAGACTTGTGTAGTGGTGCCAATTGCCCCCTTTGAGTTATTGGAAATAATTATAATCCCCTAAGTTTTCGGAAGTAATAAACCAATACTAACAATTTAAGTATTCAATGGCGTTAGCTCGAGAGCGCTAACAGGCATGACGCAAAACCGAAAATGCGCTATATTCACTGACGAATATTTCTATGTGGATGACTTGGTTCTCTTTCGTATTTTTTTTGCACTCCTAATATATATGTTGTATGTTAAACGATGATGCTATATTGCGAATACGCAATTAAAGATCGTTTGCTGGAATTTATTTGCGAGAGACTCAAAGAATGACACAGCAGATATCTTGTTGGTTTCCATGGGCTACAGGTCGAAATTTTTTGTCGACTAAACAAAAAAGTGAAAAATTATGTGAAATTTATTAAATATTTGATGAAGCTGAAGCGGATCCAAAGAAAGGGTGCTAGTTTTTTTGCAAAATTCTTTATCTTTTATATTAACTATTAAATCGGTTAAACGTAATTAATTCCTAGAAAATATTGCTATCAATCAAGATAAAAATGCTGCCATCACAAAAAACATAGCTTCAGAGAACACGTTAGTAACACGTTATCTTTCACCGTTCTACCGCTTTAAGCACACTTAATTTTTCGCGGTGTAACGATTTCAAAAACAATGTTCGAGACGTGCACCAACAGCTATCCACATAGTTTTTTAGATGATCTGATTTCTTTGTTGTTTATTCTTACATCAAAACGCTTGAGAAAGGCAATAAGTTGGCTCCTCATTACTTCACAATAGAGCTTTCATTATCATGGTGGAAATTCTGCAAATGTAGACATTGGGGCTTGGTTTCATGTTGATAGAGGTTTTTAACTCTTACTTTATAAGAGAAAATATTTGCTGGCAGATAAAAATCTGTTTCAAATTTGATTAAGAGAATTGGTTTAAGAACATATGCGCAAAAGTTTTACTTGTAATAAAGATTTTCGAATATTTGGGAATTGTACGCCGTCGGACAAACGAAAGAAACTCAATCGAGTCTAGCAATCGCTAAGGATACGGGTGTATTTGAAACAATAAGGGCGTCGGCGATTACATAAATGTAGATCAACACAACTTTTTATTTTAGTCTGACGACTACCCTATATTTTTTCTTTCTTTATATGCAATATTCGAAAAAAAAAGTAAATAAATACTTTATTATTTCTTATACAATATACCAAATTTATTTTAATTAAATAAAATTTCGTATTAAAAAGTTTTGTCCATTCATTCCCTACTTTTAGATAATCAAAACAATTTTAAAACATTTCATCCGTAACTTGCCATTTAAAAAATAGTACGAAACCAAAATGCAAAAAAAAAAAAAAAAACGCATGTTGTAAATTATTAAATATTAACTAAAAGTAAAAACAAAAAAAAAATTAAAATATATATCTATATGTGTTCATTAACATAAAAGAAAGCACTTAACTTAGGTAAGCATTCATTCGTTCACAACAATTTTGTATGCTTCTCATGATATATATCTCTGCTCTTAAGTTATTTCATTACGTGTCTATAAACATTTTTTTGTCTTTTTCCTCCTTTATTAGGTGTCGAGTCTAACTCGAAATCAGTGCACTTGAAAGATCGTCTTAAGACTGTTCAAAAACTGACGCAACAACAACGTTATACCAGTGAAGACCTATATAAACCGCGTCCTATATTAGGTCAACGTTCACGGCGCCGTGGAGTAATGGATACCGTACTATGATTAGATGCAATTTTTAATCTCTAATATTTTTTTATTGCTTAGTTATAACATATAAAAAAAAGAGTGTCACGGAGATGAGCAAAAAATTTTTGTATACACATAAAAAAAAAAGAAAAAAACATTTATTGCCGTAACTCCCTAAATCTGAAAAAGCGTAAACGTCTTCCTAAGACCTAAACTTTTCGCTTGTGGTAGTCGCCTAGCTTCAAAAGTTTTAGCCTTTTTTCGGTTAAATAGTTTACTTACGTGATACGGTCTTGTCTACGAGCATTGGTTTTGACAAAGCTTCTTCTTTTGGGCTGAATACAATCCTTTTACCTTTGCTTTTCTTCTAGACTTTGCTTCTTTATCCTTAATTCGTAATTGCCATCAATGTAATGGTACGATCGATTTTTATCGTACACCTTTCAGTGTCTAAACTTTGATCTAAGTACACTAGATTATGTCTTATACCTGCAATAATTTGAGATGCGTATTAGATATCCCGCAAAGTACATACCTTTTTGACCGGCATAAGATATAAGATATAAATCGGTTCAAATATGTCTGCTATCTGTTTTTGGAACGCTTATAAAAATTGACAAAAACTTGAATATGGATATATAACTAGCTTTAGTTAAGTGGTGTGAATAAACTTTAAAAATGTTCACTTCGACCGTAAACTCTTCGAAAATAGCAAAGAACTTCACATTACCATTCATAGTAGATAGTAGTAGTTGTGTAGATCTTTATTGCGGGAAGGGAAATGGCCTGTCCTTAAGAGAAAAACCCCTTAACAGTTATTGCCCTCTAACACGATACTCGCATTTGTGAAAACCGTTGAAGATTTCGATGCAAAGGTGAGTGCGCCTCGTGCGTTCATAACAGACAAAAAGCTGTAACTTTCGAATCTTAAAAAATCTGCTAAACGTTTGCTACGACATTATTAACGACGGCTTCGAATCTCCACATCTGCCTCTTCTACCACTAATAATAATAAGGATACTTTAAGTTTAGATATCTAAAAGGGTTTGTAAGATCGATCGATCTTTTTATTATGTCTCTTGATTCATATTCATATTTTTGCAATCATTCGGGTCAGTTTTCGATCAAATGAACCGTTTTTACGACCACTCCTCTTTTATAAAAAAATTCGTAATTTAAAAAAATGTGGTATTTTTGATATTTTCTGAAATCACAAAAATCATTGAAAAAGTAATGTATTGAACGGGAGAGATTTAGATAGGACGGAACCATTTTTTGGACGCTCTGCGAAACACAAGCTCTTACAAAAACCTAGAAATATGAATATTGCTCTCGATTAGTTATTGCACATGTAAATTTAACGTATTAAATTTGGAGTGTGATCCAATTCTTTTAGACAGCCTCCTTTGGAAGATAATATTTTATGACGAGGATTGGTCAAGTGGTGTTGAGCATTTATACGACTATAACGTGTACCGTAATGTATAACGTAACTTACCATATTTATATAAAAATTCTTCTTCTTCCTCTGCAAGTCAGCAAATCAACAACAGATGATTCAATGTGTTAAATAAAATAACATTTTTACAATTCTACTGCATTAGGCCGACGAAAAGGCTGCTGCTTACTATTGTTCGCCTTAATTTTATAAGTTTGATTTAGCTTTAGGACCTTTTTTGGTTCTTTTTTCATTCAACAAATTGATTGTTATTACTGCAGTTTCATTTCATTAATCAAAAATCGTAATTACGCATCAGCTGACAGCGGAGTGCGAGGCAATGAGCCACTCAAAAAAGTCGTGAAGAAGTTGACTCTACACACCAAAAAAAATCACCCAAGTGCACTTCGACGAAGTGTTCGCGAACAGAAGACCAGTGTATTCGCTAGCGGAGGATGTAATATATGTGGATGCGGGTATACGTATAGGAAAGCTGCGAAGACCGAGGGGCACAAAACTGTCGTCGTTTTCAGAGCGCGAAGCCTGCTGACGAGGTTCAGCGTTGTTCTCAACAGGTAACCCTGCACCAGACACGGTGCAGGAATTGGAATGGAGACAAGGCTAGAAGAGAATCTCCAACTCGCTGAGGAGACCGGCCTGGACGTCAGAGTTGTTGTCTGCGATAGGAATTCCTACAATAAAAGATTTGTTGCAAATTTCATAAATAGGGTGTACACCGGCACAGGCGGGCATACGGCAGCCCGACTACCGGCACTTATTAGATGTGTTCGGTAGGAAAATCTTCGTTAATAATGACGGAGCCGCGTACGACATGAGACTAGCTGCGAACCTGGCGCAAACGAGCGCGCCAGCTCTCCATCTGGGACCAGAGATGCCATTATATAGCCTACCGTGGGGAATTGTCGTTACTGGTCAGTTCCACAATGACATATAGGGCGCAACATTCCAAGCTGCAATAAACGCCAGGGAAGTCTCGGCCTTACACGATGGTGACAAAGTGCAGAGGATCGTCATGGTTACCAAATTCGCGAATGTCTTCCACCGGAGGTCCATCAACAGTAGCAGATGGATGGAGTTCAAAGGTGATCTGGAAGATATCAGAAATTACTTAGAGGCGAATTTAACCCGGACTATGTATCGATGGATGGAATTATCAATTTTACTGAACTTATGGACGAGCTGCTGGAGGCTTACCCTGGTATAACTATACCTCCATTAGCTGGATAAGCCAGGACCTGGAGGAAAGGTTCTTCCACAAGGCGTCAACAAAAGGACTAGATCGTCAGTGGAAATAATGGATTAACGAAAAGACTCGAAAACCTGATGGTGACAAAATGTTCTGGTGGATTCAGAGCCGATGATGACTACTTTCTCATCGACAACATGGATTACAAAATTAAAGCCCAGGCTGAAGAAGATTTTACACCATTCGTCCTCGATGGAGGTATTCGGTGATCGCGTGCAGGCAACTGTGGTGACAAGGCTTGCCTTGTTCAGGGCGTCAGGATCCTGCAGTAGCGGCAGTAATTTAAGGTATTTCACGAAAAGCGAGTATTTGCAAAGAGTTTTTTTATATATTTATTTTTTCTCTCAGAGCTACTTTAACCAACGCCGTGGAAATGTCTTTACAACAATGCGCGCATTTGGGTCGTAATGGTAAATAATTAGTTTATTTGGATCGCTAGTATTGTGTTATTTTTTTCACAAAATAAAGTCTTTGCTGTGTTTAACCCTATATTTGTGTTTATTTCTGTCTTTGATTAACAATACAAGAATCGTTTGTATCTAATCATTAAAAGTAAATTTAAAATAATCTATTCACGATCTTTTTTACTAACATATTCTACACACTGATCTGTACGAAAATATTCTTCGCATTTGATCATTAGGTTTTCTAATCCTTCATTTTTCGAAAAAAATGTTCTCTCTACCTGTGCGTGCATGTATACCTACCATTGTGACTCCTATAGACCAAGACGTATTCCTAATAGCCGTTTCCAGGTAAGCATCACTAGCTTTTAGTTACTTAATAAAATAAAATGAAATGAAAACACTTTCAGTAGGCGAAGTTAGGAAGAGATTGATATCTAAAGAGACCAACGTTATGATATCTAAAGAAGCCTGATCATGTCTTTCGACATATCAGGCCCGATTTCTGCTTGGTTGTATGAGTCAATTAGAAATAGTTGCATGAAGTAGTGGAAGAGTTCAACTCAAATTCGAACGCCTTTATAGTTAAGTTAGGTTGTTGTTCTTATGTATAATAAAAAAGATTTGGGTAGCATAGCAAATCCAGTGTTCACCATTTATCGTGCTCACGGTAATAGCTAAACTCTTTCCTCGCTACGGAGCAGAACTAAATTTCCTCTTTTTGATCCCTCCAAAAACTATGTCATATGTTCAGAATAAGCTGTGTTGTTACATAAAGATTACGTATCATGCATGCATCCTATCCTTCGGGAATTAAATTAATGAATATTAAAATAATAAGTTACCGAAAAATTCCAAAGCTATGAATTAGATAAATTATTGTTGATCTTATTTTTGAATGCAAAATGCAAATCTATCGAAGATCTACGAGAAAGTTTTTGGGAAAACCATGGTCATGTACACAAAGAAAGCATCTGAAAGAGTTTAACAATATATAGTTAAGTGTAAATCATTTGTTTTCTTATTTATTGTGCTGATTGATTAGTGATTGTTGCTGATCAGATATTTAGCACGTGATTCGAGTCACGGGTGCCAATCTCTCCCTAAACTGTAACAAATATCTAAATATATCTCGTGGGGTTTTGTCTTTTAACTCGACCAGAATTATGTTTTACATTAGGGTTGGTCGTCCTGAAGACACTATTCATTCCGTGATTTAAACTCCTTCATTGTCGTAATGGCAATATCTCCTTACATTGAAGGTGTGTCCACTTATCTGTGTTAATATCACGACTAGGTTTTAGGAATGCTTTTGTTTTATAAAAATTTCTCGTAATCCCAAGGCCTCACAATTAGTTCAAATACTTGTCTTTTAAGATGCAAATCGAGTCAAACTTTTGATTCTCTGGTGATTTTACGAGAGGGCAGAAATTTTTGTTTTGCAAATGAAAATAATTGAATTTTATTGATTTATATATATCTACATATATATATATCCTCTTTTTCCATATATTTATAATTTTTTTTTGTTTTTTGTTTTCTTTTTTTTTTTTTTTTTTTTTATAAATATATTAGATTATCCAGTTTTAAATAGCGGATAACATTAATTGTTACACTTTACGAAATTCTTTATTAAACCTCGATATGTTTTAAGTTCGTATTAAGTTTAATCTAAATATTTAAAAACGCTGTCTAAAAATAATCAACATTTTAAATTTTAAGAAAACAAAACCACTTTGTTATCGTCAAACGACTCATTGAAATTGTAATAAAAAAAAAAAAAAAAAAAAAAA